CCAAGAGCTACAACAGGATCTAGAACTGAAGTTCAAGATAAACAGGTCGGAGATCACGTGCCGTGATCTTCCTCTAACTAAGCATCACGGTTCGCACCGTGACAAAATCTCTATAATTCGTGAAGTAGCCCGCCAATTTAATGTACTAAATTTAACACTCTCTATACGCCTCTATAGTGTTAAAACCCGCGCGATTTTCTCGCGTAAGTTACTCTAAATTAATAGAAATTAAAGAGGAATCTTATCTTGGAATGAGGCTCGACACCAACACGGAATAAGGTCAACTCAGAAGATGGTGACGAGACAATCACCGATCAGCCAGCAAGGAAAAGCCGGATTCAATATTTTAAATGAGGTACGAATACCGGTGTCCTCGGTCAATTCTAGGATCTACTTCTTTCCCACGGCTCTGCAATCCCACGAAGTAGGTTAAATAGCTAATGATGTGATATAAATCACGTGGGAAGATATGATGATAACTCGCCGACCGCTGAGTGGACGCTCGGAATCGCCCTGGGGCGTGCCCCACATAGGGGAGGCCTTTACAAGATTAGTTGATAGATGAGCACGATAACAAGCTGATGATTAAGGCGAGAGTTAATCAAAAATTAATCTTTCTGAACGCTTCAAGCTCTCACACTGTACTATCCCATCTATTAATGTTGTCAATAGTCTGGATATCACCCTTTGTCGTGCGGAGAAACCCCGACGCCTGCGTGGGGTATGTCCCGTCCCCCGGATTTTGTCCGCTCCCAGGGTTGTTGAGAGATTCCCACTAATGAATCGACAGCGATTTTTACGTTACAAATCATGTCAGTTTCGCAGGTAAAAGTGATGCCGTCCTATCAGCCATTTCAATGTCTTGTCTGTCAGCGTCGATTTACTCGACATGAGAACCTCAAGCGGCATTCAACATTACACTCCCGCTCTCAGGCCGAAGCGTCGCTTCCCTGTGACTTTTGCCATGCTACCTTCTCCCGCCCTGACTTGCGCAGTCGGCATATGAAGAGGAAACATCCAGAGCACGAGCAGCACCGAGTGACAAAGAGGACAGAACGCCAACCAGCACCCAGACAAGACAGGTTAAATACTTCTGCATCGCCGACAGCGGTCTCGACTACAGAAAGCCATGGTGATTTGAATTCTCCCGGGTCGGTGAACTCGAGTCCAGGAGAGGAAACGAGGTTTGATGGTGATGCGGTCTGGCGCCCAGTGATGCGGTATCAGCAGCAGCAATTTGGCTGTGAACGCCCCACAGAAAACCAAAATACTGCGACGCCAAGGAGCGGGATAGCCAAGACACAAGCGACAAGTGACCTGTTACAACATCAGTTGGTGACGAGTGACTCTGCTCTCATCGAGCAGATTGTCCAGGACGCTACAGATCTGGAGCGGAGACTACTATTAGGGTCATCCTTTCTCAAGCCCACCAATCACATTGAGAATCACCTTCATCCGATGGCCAATTTACAAGCTGATCCAATCGATAATACAAGTCTAGCCGAGTACAGCTTCAACCATCCGACTCTGGATCGATTGTCACCAACTGACATACCTCAACTCCAAGACGATTGGGCCCCGACTGCTCGACAAATCTCGCGAGGCTGCGATCTATTTTTCGGCTCAGTCTCTCATTTCCTCCCCTTTCTCCATTCCTCGACTTTTGATCCGACTCACGTTCCTCCTCATTTGGTCCTCAGTATACTTTGCCTTGCTTATCAATATGGCGAGGACCCAGAATGCGGGAACCAAGAAGGCTCAGGCGATAGCTTTTCTATACGTTGCTTTCACAAGGCTCGAGCTCTCCTTGCTTCCGATGAAGACAGGCCCGATGCTTCAACAATGATTACCACACTGGTCCAATCATACTTGCTCCTTCAGATTTGTGCCATGATGTACCTCTGTGGTGACATCTCCGCATGCGGCCTCAAAATGCATTCGCATATGATCTCTCTGGCTCGTGCTGGAAGAATGACACAGCCAATGAATGTTGAGTCTGGTGCGACTGCAGATTTGGAGTCGTTGTGGCGGGAATTTGTCAAATCCGAGTCGCATAAACGGACCCTTTTCGCGGTGCATCAGATAGACGCGCTTTGGTACCAATTTCTGTCCATTCCTCGCTCAATCTCACATTTGGAAATCAAGCATGACATGCCCTGTCCACAAGACCAATGGTCATCATCCTCTGCCGCTGAATGGGCTCATCGACAACTTGTTGCAAGAAATGCCGGCCCCTCAGTCACATACACCGATGCCGTTCGACGCTTCCTCTCTTCTGATGAAGATGCCGCCTCACTTCCAGCATTTGACCCATACGGCGCCATTAACATCGCGCAATTTCTGATCTCTAGCGCCCGAGAAATCTCAGGCTGGTCTACAATGACGGGGATGCTCAGTTTGGAACGATTCGGCGCATTAAGATCATCCCTCGTCGCACTCAGACCGTTTATCTGTCCCAGTGATCACAAAGCGCAAACAAAGTACGCGACTTCGTGCCCTGCAACTTGGGAGACTGCCATGATGGAGCTGCAAATGTGGTCGCCATCCCACACTGGTGGGATTGTGGAAGGAAGTATAGACGCCGTTCTCAGCCAGTCAACATTTTTAGGACCGTCGCAGTTCCTGTGCGATACAAACACGGCCAAGACTATGCAACCGCATGTCAACTGGTTTCTACGATATCTCGAGGAAACGCGCACATTGGAATCCGAAGCGCCGTGGGTTACCTTGTATGCGTATAAAGCCTTTTTGATTGCCTGGCAGCTAATAAATGCTGGCCTACCTGGCGCAATGGACACTGTGGGCATTAGTGACGGTGATATAGAGGGAGCTCTGATTTGGGCGAGAAAGGTCTTTCAGCGAAGACAGAAATGGCAGATTGGAAAACTGATCTTGTCGTGTTTGGATGAGCTAGGTAAATGAAATACGCTCTTTTAATGCTCCAACTATTTAGGAACATGCGTATAATGTTAGCATTTCGTCGTCAGAGTTGAATAATTCAATCATTCTCAGCTTATTCAATTGCTACATTCATTTTCATAAGCTTAGATTTACCATAACCGTATGGCACAAGCGAATCCATATACCGATCCTAGCAATAAACGAGTAAGAAAAAAAGATCGTAGTCATTGATTAGTACATTTCGTAGCGCCAGTTGAGCTGTACCATTTCCTCTGTGACACCGCCCTTGATCACCTTGGCAATTTCCACGGGATCGCCAGAGTCCAGACGTCTGTTCTCACGCAAGACCAGCCAGCGGTATACAGTGATCGTGATTCCAAACAATACAGCAGCACCCATAAGCGTGCCAAATGCAACATAAAAATGGGGCTTTCCGAAGTATAAGTATGAGGCCCAGATATTGGACGTACCACCAATGGCGTTAACCAGAGCAGAAGCAGCGGCTCGCTTCGAAACGGGCCGCGCAAGGTGCAGGTTGATGGTCTTGTATAAGAGGAGCTGAGGACCGACGGAGGCGAAAGGCAGGATCATCATAGAGAAGTAGCGAGCGCCGATGTTCGTAGTCGCAATCGGGATGATATACATTGGGATCGAGATGGCAATGCAGAGGATGATGATTGGGTAGACGGTATTCTTTCGATCAGAGTAGAACATAAGGACATAGTAGACGAGGCCAGCGAGGATATAGGGGGGTGCCGTGAGAAGCAAGCTGACGGTACTGGAGAAGTTGAGCGAGCTGACGAGGGTGGGGAAATAATTGGCGATGGAGCCCTGTGTTTGGGATAGCATGTTGCAAAAGATGAGCAACACCAGCTTGGGGTCCGAGAGAGCTTTGGCGAACCCTTTCAAAACGCTCCCATCCTCTGTGCCCTCTGCGGCACCAGCTTCGGACTCGATACGCCACACGGCACACTCACGCTCAATCTGGGACAGGATGCGGCTGTTGTGGGGGAACTCTGGCATAATGCAAGCGCAGATGATGCCTATGCCGACAGTGGCACTGCCCTCGATGATGAATAGCCACCTCCAGCCGCGGATTCCATAATGCCCATCAAGTTGGAGGATAGCGGCGGCGAAGAGACCACCAAATGCATTGCCGACTTGCTGGGCAATGTACAGCCCGGCAATACGCTTTCCTAGCTCTCTCTTGGTGTACCAGGCAGAGAGGTAGTAGATGGCCCCGGGGAAGAAAACGGCTTCAACGATTCCAAGAATGGCCCGAACAGCGAGGAGTTGACCATATGTCGTGACGGCCGCTGTGCAAGCCGAGATAGCACCCCAGATCGCCACAGCACCACAGATGTACATTCCTGGCCGGGAGATCTTTGTAATGATGAGGTTGCTGGGAATTTGGAATGGCAGATAGCCGACAAACAGGATGGAAATAGCGGTGGCAAATTGCTCAGAAGACATGTTCAGATCTTCCATGATACCCTGAAGCTTTGCTGAGCTCAAGTTTTGGCGATCCACGTAGTTCAAAATGTACAAAATTCCAATCGTGGGGAGGACGAAGAGGTCAACCTTACGGATGATCTTCTTGTTGAGGGCGTTGAAATCATCGTTGCTGAGGCTGCGAAGGGACTCAGGCATGCGGTTGTAGGTATCAACTTGTCCTTCTGCCGATGAGACATTGTCTTCAGCCAGGACAGACTCTTTCTTGTCCACGGGGAAAGACATAGGGAGGGTGTTGCAGGTTGCAGGCTGTAGGCTGTGTCTTCGAGACGATGCTTGAGCTCCCCCTATATAGCTCAACCTAATCTCTGCATTTGCCGACTTAGCGGAGAGTCATTGCAAAGATCCGAATTTGGAGATCAACTACTGACTAGAACTCTTTTTCAAAGAATCTCGAGGCATTCATTGGTCGAGATTGGTCGAGATCCAGTCATTCGTGGTTGATAAGTGAGACGTGTAGATAGGGCCTGGAGATAGGCGCATCAAGGATTATCCAATGCTTATCTGTCCAATTGGAATCGACTACCCCAGATGTAGAGTGTGGTTGAAATCCGGGGTGCATTGGGCTTGGCTTGGGAGGAGCTCTCGCATGGAGATAAGATAAAAAAATAAAGATAAGACGTTTCAGGGAGGTGCAGGCCATTTCTTTCGAGAACAGAGGTGGTTAGTGACCATTTGGACAAGATCCACACTTTGTGGAGGTGGTCCCCATACAATATCTGGGCCGTTTAGGTGGGCCACTAACATCAACTGTAACGAGTCTGCCCTAACTACATGCAAGAGCTCATTGTTACCCTGTCAAAGCTCCTCATTTTAGATTATTGGTGTAAATCTTCAGTCTAGAAAAATGAGGGGGTTGAGGAAATGTAAACCAATAGATACTTAAGCTGGCATCTTATCGACATCTCTTGTCTTCACTTCACTTTCCAACCCCTCCCCCAACAGACAACTCCAGAAAATCACCTCTGTCTTCTAATCCCTCTCAAATCACAATGGCTTACCCTACCGCTCTTACAACCTCAATCGACAACTCTCGATTGAGGCTCCTCAACAAGATTAAGGCTGGCGAGTTCCCGCTCATGACCTTCATGGCCATCCCCTCCATCCGCCAGGCCCAGATCGTTGCCCTGACCGGTCTCGATGGTATCATTATTGACTGTGAGCACGGGCACATTGGCGACGATGCTATGCATAACTCTGTCGCTGCTATCTCCGCCCTCGGCGTCTCCCCGGTTATCCGCATCCGTGGCCCTGCCCATGATATTCTTAAGCGTGCTCTCGACACCGGTGCTCATGGCATCATGGTTCCCCAGATCAACAATGCCGAAGAGGCTGAACAAATTGTTGCTTCTTCCAAGTTCCCTCCCCAGGGTGTGCGCGGCCAGGGCTCCGCCTTCCCCGCAATTGCCCACGGCCTCACAACCCCCGAATATATGAAGTCCGCCAACGAGACCATCATCACTATGATTCAAATAGAGACCCGCGCCGGTGTCGCGAACGTCGATGCTATCTGCGCTGTGCCAGGTGTGGATCTTGTCTTTATTGGTCCCAACGATCTTGCCCAGTCTCTGCTTGGATACACACCTGCCCGCGGCGATGAGCCTGAATTTGTTGCTGCTATTGATAAGATTATTGCTGCTGCCCGGAAACACGGGAAGTGGGCTGGCCGAATGGTCAACAATGGTACCGCGGCTAAGGAGGCTCGGGAGCGGTACGACACCGTCGCCGTTACCGGGGACACCAAGGCAATTCAGAACTGGTACATGGCGGAGTTTGAAATTGCTCGTTCATGAGAGAGCATTCAATTTTATGTTCACGATAGACTTTCATCTGTAAATTTTCAATAGACAAATTCAAAAACTTCATCTTTTTACATCCAATGCAACTTCAAATTTGGGGAACTTCCGGTCTAGCTAAATTAAGTGTCTTGGCTGGACTTGGGGAATTAAAAAACCACTAGCCATGTTCATCTCTTATAACACATTCCCTTGCTCGTTCATCTAGTTAAGCAAAAATGGAGAAGGATGTTTCACTGATTCGTCTATATAAGGTGCTCAAGCAAAACCTCAATCAATCTGCTTACCTGCTTTCAACTCCTTGTAATACGTGCGCACTTTTTGTCATGTCTAGTGAGATGCTACTTAACAATTATCTACACTAATAGTTACTCCACTCTATCTAATAATGGCAACCTGATGCTCTGTTCAAAAAAGTTTTCGTTTTCGTCTAAAGTCTAACATTTCTCATAATTTTATAATTTAAGCTTGAGCAATGCACTCGATCTCAATGACAGTGCCATTTCCAGGGGCAACCGCTTGGAGGCATGAGCGCGATGGCATGGGCTGTGGAAGGAAATCAATGTAGGCTTCGTTCATAGCGGCGAAATCCTTCATATCGGCAAGGTAGACATTGTACTTGACAACCTGCTCAAGGGAAGAGCCAGAGAGCTCGAGGACCTCCTTCAGGTTTTGCAGAACGGTTCTCTGTGTAAAGGCAAAAAAAAAGAGTCAGCGAAAGCCTTACTACCCGATGAGTACTTGTGCAATTGAACTTACAGTAGCCTGCTTAATCTCTCCTGTAGCAGTTTGGCCGGCACAAAAGACGAGCCCGGGAACCTTGACAGCAGGGCCTTAAGAGTTTGGTCAGTAATCTTTTTTTTAGAGAGACTGAAGGTGTTTTGTATGCCGATACTCACAGTTGTGGGGCTTGGTAGGGAACTTCTCGCTTGAGATGAGTTGACGAGACATCTTGGTGGGTGATGAAAGTATTGGGGCTTTTGATGGTGTAGTTTCAAGAGTGTGTCAAGAAGTTTGAAGTTCACAAGCACTAGTCATTGAGCTTGTTTAAATTGCCTAAGCTACTCCTCACACCTCTCCATCTGAGCTTTCTTGCCAATCAAGAAGAGGGGCAAATCTCATTATTGCAATGGAGGAGCAGTGTTTTCTTAGTCCTAATTTTATCCCTTATCTGGAGGGAGGAGTGGGAGGAGCACTTTGGATTGAGTTGTCGATTGTGGCCATTTTTCTCAAAAGGCTTATCAGTGCCCAAAAGTCCCACCTTGTGATCGAGAGTGACCGCATGGCCGCAATCGCTGCTTGTGCTCATTTCCCGCGGGTGTAAATCGTCTTCCAATATGGGTCTAGCGCAAACCGTATCGTCGATGCTTAAAAACATGCACGCCAAGGCAGAGGAGCTCCCGTTTCATAACAAATGATAACAGACCAGGAAACATCGGGGAAATGTGGGGAAGTGTAACAGGGAGCATCCAATACTACGATGATCACGCCAAACATTTGGCGGTTCACTGGCAAAGATCGATAATCCTCCTGCTCTCATCTGATCTAATCCAAAGTGTGCCATACTCACCTCCCCGGATATCGGATACAAAGATAGGGCTCATGTCTCATCACTTGAGTGGTATATAAAGATATAGAATTCGATCAGATAACTTTTCTTGTATTGTTCTCGCCGATCACAACATTGTCCCTTTCGTGTACATTGATAACCATGCCACGTTCTGCCCCCTTCAATCCTCCTGCAGCTGACCTGCCTGGCAAACCTTTTGTCCCAACATGGGTTCCTCCACCCGTCACTCAGCAAAAAGAGAACTTTGCTGAGCTTAGCTCCATTGATCTTTCTTTGTTGGACTCGGATGACCCGGCCGTTGTTGACAAACTTGTCCAGCAGGTTAAGGGTGCCATTCGTGATGATGGATTCCTTTTCCTCGAGAACTATGGAATCTCCTTAGAGCAGGTAAGTCTTGATTGTCGAAACATATTCAAGACCAATGTCGCTAATAGATCGTTCAACAGCTCCACCGCCAGTTCTCTCTCGCACAGTATCTATACCAAAACATTAGCGAAGAGGACAAGGAGCGCCTCCTTTTCAACCCTGAAACTGGTGTTTGGTCTGGTTACAAGCACCCATACGGATTCAAGGTAAGATGCCCTTCTTCCTGCATCAACCGACCCTCTACTGACGCCAACTTTTTTTTTATGATCAGCGCCAACGCGGACCCGAAGACGGCATCGAACAATTTAACTGGTACAAACCAGACTGGAACGACATCAACCGTGTACCCACATGCCTTCACCCCTTTATGGATGAGATTGAAGAATTCTCCAACTATCTGACCAAATCCGTCAACCGCCGCCTCCTGACTCTCTTCTCCCGTGTTCTCGAGTTGCCCGACGACTATCTCTGGGACAATGTTCAGTCGCACGGTTGCCCAACTGGTGAGGGTTACTTCCGCCATGCACTTTTCCGTCCGGTCCAGAAGAAGACCGAAGAGGCATCCAAGGGCCTGCGCATGCACGGTCACACCGACTTCGGTCTGACAACACTGCTTTTCTCTGTCCCCATCTCGTGTCTCCAGATCTGGGGCCGCGACGAAAAGTGGTACTACGTTCCCTACAAGCCCGGTGCGCTTGTCATTAACATCGGTGATACCCTGGAGATCGTTTCTGGCGGCCATTTCAAGGCTACGCGTCACCGTGTTTACAAGCCTCCTGCCGATCAGTTGAAGGAGGAGCGTCTCTCTCTGGTTCTCTTCAACAGTTCTGTTGGTGATTTGCGCATGGGTCCTGCAACCGGTTAGTAGATTGAGAGATTGAGATCAAATAAGGACAATGCTAACATCCCCTTGATAGATTCTCCCTTAATTCAGCGAGTGGGCTGTGTCGAGGAACAGGGTGTCTACAAGGAGTTCAAGAAACTCACTTCCCAAGGAAAGCTGGTGCCTACCAACCGACAGTGGCGTGAAATCCAGATCGCCACCGCAACAGATCCCACAGATCAAGAGCGCAACAGAGTTGGTGTCGACCAGGTTCTCATCGATGGCAAGGTTATGCACCAACGAGAGTACATGGGTGTCAAGGTTGTCCTGCCCGTTTGAAGGTATAGTGTAGGCAATGACTGGAAATGTTTGTTGTTTTGATTTAATTACCCCTGGTTTTTCTGGATGATTTATGCCAACAGATTGTATGCAAGATGCAGATACGTAGCGTTTCAAATTTATCAGCTTTTTGTATTCATCTATTCGACACAAGAAGTGTGGGATAAAATGCCTAGCTGATTGTCCGGGTGCATAGGCTCGGTGGGTTGCCATGGAATACCAAGCAATCCCTGATTGTAAGCAGAACAGTCATCTGCGCAGTATATGCTTCTTGCCACCATTGAATTAATCCGAAAAGACCAAGCAAAGACACATTGGTATGTTGCATAACTGTAAAATCCAAAGACAATCATCGGATAATCAAATTCCTACAGAGGCTGTAGATGTGGCCGATTATTCATTGGCTGTTTTGATACGCACTGATGAAATACTACCACAGCTGCTCTCCAGACAAGAGATGACCATTGTGTCTTATTTCACATTGGAATTTGCTCCCGTCTTCACAGGTAGCATTTCAAAACGAAAATGTTCAATCTCAGTTTAGTGACGACCCAATAAGGAATTTACAAAACAGCATAGTTTATTGTTCACGGCATTAAAAGATCAACAGCGTTGTTGAAAGTCAAAATGGGTTAACAAATTGTTCTAATTATGAAACCTATTTCAATCCCCCAGCTAGAAGGAGACTTTGGCCAGTCATGTACCCAGTCTTCGCTAGCATAGTAACAACGTTCGCTGTTTCTTCGGGACTTCCTAGCCGCTTTAGAGGGATACTCTCTACCACTTCGGGGAAAGCAGCGGCAGAGGAAAGCATGCCTGTATCACCAATCATAGCTGGGGCGACGTCGTTGACACTGATATTGTATTCTGCCAGTCGGGTGGAAAGGTTCCTCATCATACCAGTAAGACCACCCTTGGAGGCTGCATAGTCTAGAATAGGGAATTTGAATCAGCAATTGCCTTCAATAAACAAAAGGGCAATCCAACAAGCGTAGTGGATTGACTTACGACAGCCGTTAATTCCTCCACCTTGAGCGGCGATGGAGGACATAAAGATGATCCGTCCCCATTTCTGGGCCTTCATATGCTCTACCACGCCTTTGACAAGAATGAAGGCAGCGCGGAGGTTGATATTCATGGTGTAATCAAACTCCTCAAGCGAGATGTCCGACACGTCTGGAATTCGCTTGCCATATCCGGCGTTTGATATAAGGATATCTGGTCGTTGGCCATGCTCAACATCAATTTGTTGGAACATGGCCTCTATTTGATCGCTAGACCCAACATCGACCTGGTGGATGGAAATGCGAAGCTTCTGTGTGGCGTTCTTGGAGTGTATCTCTGCGACAATGTTGTTCAAAGCTATCAAATTGGTCGAGTATGTCAAGGCGAGATGAACTCCATGTTGTGCCAGTTGGTGTGCGCAAGCTGCACCGATTCTAAAATCGGAGAATTGACGCGAATTAGCTTCATGTCCTTTTATTAACGGTGTCATGCGTACCCTCCTGATGCGCCAGTAATCAGGGCCAATTTACCTCGAACGTCGTTGAATGCCATTTTTGCGACAATGAGAAGTGCAAGTATGCTAATCCGGCAAAAAGATTAGAGCCGACATGGAAGAAGCCCGTGATTGAACATTGTGGGACCCCAATGTTACCCCGCTGGTGTCGGTCACTCCCCCTTATCAATAGCCGTTCCTGATGATCAGCCTGCACCTCAATTGCCGCACATGAAATGGTGGTTTTTTCCATGAAATAAGAAAAGTGGGTGGAGTGGGTTTGTCAATGAGGGAGCTCCTCCCAACGCTTTCATCGGCAAAGATAGATCAACAGCCCTAGAGCTAGATAGTGACGAGGCTGTCCAAATTCAACCTCATTATCTTTCTGACGTGTCAATTCTGATTTCGGCATTGATGTTCCATTCTGTTTTACTTTTTCGAAGATAGTCGCGTTCGTGATGGTTTTGGTAAAGGAAACGTGGTTGGATTGTGGCCTGAGGCACAAACAATGACTGCTCCACTGCACGTGATGGTTTGTTCTTTCGAAACAAACTTCACTCGCATTTGCGTATTCTAAAATCCCCAACAGATATCCAATCAGATACTCAGTTCGTCCCGAAGATCATCAATGATGTTGATTTTAGGAAAGCATTAATTCCTCTAATATCAAGTCAACAATTTTCAGCGCATCCCAAAGTGCTCCGTACTACTGAGGCATTACAGTAGCGGCCCCATGTCCCACATGGCCGATCCCCGCTATGGCTCTTACAAGGATCTGGCCAAGAATTATGAGATGCGACTAGATGCCCTTCTAGAACTGGGGATCTTTAGGCCAGTTTTACTCTATCACGTTGTCATCCTCAACATTTTGCCTTTGATAGGTCTGGTTATTCCTCGCAGCAAAGGCGGACAATTTTTTCGAAAGGGACTTTTCGTCATCTGCATTGCAATTGCAATCGAAATATTCAAAAACCGACGAGCGATTATCGGAGGTAATGGCTATATGCTTGGTCTGATTACCGCGTGGTGGTTGGTATGGAATGCCACGTTGTTTGTACTCACAGACCTTGAACATGATTTCAAGCGCATTGAACGGAAACCTGTCGATATCAACTGCCAGAATGAGCCCAAAATTGAAACTAGGGCCGTCAAAAAGTCGCTCGAGTCGCATAACTTAAGATGCACACAACGGGAGAGCAACCTTTATATTTGGCGGTCATATCCCGAAAACTTTTGGCATCGTCTTGAATGGTCTGCTGGACTGCTCTTCAACCTGAGGGGACCAGAATGGAACTGGCGGGCTTCCCATCTGGGTCCTCTTCCACGACCAATTCACGACCAATTGCATTCAGAATTCGTAGACAGAATCAACGCACATGATCCCGCAAGTGAAACCTCTACATATCCCAGCGGCAAAGACCGCCTGCAGGCTGCCTTTCGGAAGTTCTTCATATCTTATCTTGTGCTGGATATCTTGAAAGTCATAATCCTGATGCCAGATCCCTACTTTCGAGGCCTCACTTCAGCTGAATCACTGTCACCATTTCCTTTCTTCTATTTCACAAATCTCACATTACATCCTGCCATAGCCCGGCTTTTTCATCGTTTATACAGCGCCATAAGTGTGTATTTTGCTCTCGAGCTGGTGACATCACTGAATCCAATTTTCTTCCTGGGGCTATCTCTCGCATTCCCTAACGGGGCTAAGAAGCTGACAGCCGCACCGTTGGGTGCTTCATGGCTGTATTCTGATACATTCGGGCCATTCTTCACCCCGATCCTTGACGAAGGATTGGCGGGCTGCTGGGGTCGTTGGTGGCACCAAATTTTCCGCTACGGATTTGTAACTTCAGCACGTTGGATTCTATCCGTGCTTCCGGCTGGCTGGGCTTCCCATCTGCAGTTCCGTCGTGTAACGTACGTGATGGTGGCTTTCTGTCTAAGCGGCTTTGTACATGCCTGTGGAAGCCACACCCAGATTGAGGATACATCCCCCGTGTCCGGGACATTCCTATTTTTCTCTTTGCAGGGTGTTGCAATCATGGCAGAGCAGGTTTTCAAGTCATCGATCCTTCGAAAGTCGCCCTTTGCTGGTACACCGAGATGCCTAAGACGAACGGCAAACTTTGTGTGTGTATTTTGTTGGTTGATGCTCTCAGGTGGTCTTGTAGCGGATGACTTTGCGAGGGGTGGCTTATGGTTGATGGAGCCTCTTCCAATCAGTCCACTTCGTGCATTGGGATTTGGGCTACAAGGCCAAAGTTGGTGGTGCTGGAATGAGCCATGGTTCCGGTATTGGAGCGATGGTACATACTGGGGGAGTGGCATACGGGTGTTGTAAAATTGATTGAAACAGGCATTCAGGTTAATTTCGAGATCCTTGAAGTCATCAATTGCATGTGCATGAAATAATTACATGATCGATCATTTATGAAAACACAATTACATCGTCTATCCTTCCATTGTGACATCGTCATCCTCTTCATCAGTATCCGAATCCATGTTCAAAGTGGGCAATTCATCATCGCTGTCATCAACAGCCTCATCTTGAGCCTGAAGGGTCATGGCAGTGGATGCAGTGGACAGCTGAGTCGAAAGCTTTGGGGCCTCGGTCTTGGTAATTGCGGAAGCTGGCTGCGAGAAAGGCTGTTGGCTCGAGATGGTAGGGATAATTTCGTCGAATCGCGCCTTTTTGGTTTGAACATCTTGCTTTTGCGGTGTTGGCTCCTCAGCCGTGAGTTCCTCGGTGTAGGTCCGCTTATGGAAAGTAGGGACAGGAGTTGCGGCCTTCGAATGGTCTGACTTCGGTACTTGCAGGGGCACTGGCACAGGTTGCTTCAGGAATTCGGCAGTCTTTGGGGCGGCGTTGTATGAATCATCGGCCATGTCCTCGTCTTCTGCTTCTTCGTCTTCATCAACATAGGCGTCAAGCTCGGGCGCGGTCATCAGGACAGGCATCCTGGGGCGAACAAGGGCCTCCACCTCCATCTGATCAGCATACGGCCTAGTCAAGAATGGAATGATGCTCGAGCCTGCTCCACGACCCTTGACTGCCGGGACGGGGTTGAGTACGCTAGCAAGCATCGCGTCCTTGTCGGATGTCAAAATGATGGAGCGGTCCATCTCAGCCCTGATGGAGGGCGGTACAAGCTCAGCGGGGATGGAAACGAACACTGCCTGCAAAAATGCAGATGCATTGTGTTGAATGTCCAAAGGCGGAGAGTCTGCTTGTACCTGGCGGGATTTCTGAAGATCAGGGTTCAAAAACGCGTCCGCATTGGCTGTCCCTTGTCCACCCTTTGATTTTGACTTAGAGTCAGAGCCCGGATTTCCGGTGGAGATTCTATCTCCAGTTGATGGCAATAGATCATTGCAGCAAGAGCGCAAGACATTAGTCAAAGACACCACGCTCTGTTTCGTCATCGCAGGTCCATTCACCAACACCAGAGAACGAAGCAAAGCATAGACTGCCGAACGTAAGTCTCTATTAAATTGTTCGCCCTTAAAAGTCCACACAGCCTGCTCTAGAATAGTCTGCGTTACCGAGGTTGCGCTGGTCGCCAAGATACCGACAACATTGGAAAGCAAGTCCATGCATGCAATGTGAATGCGAGGCAGCTCCATCCAAAGTCCCTCTCGCTCGTCACGACTAATTTCCTGGTTGAACTGAATTCCAGATTGAGACGATACGGCGCCATTGGGCGGAATGGTGACAGAGGTAAGTCGGGAGGTTAAATCGAGGATCGAGCCCATCGGAAGCGCAACTGCAGCTGCGGATGGCATCGAGATGAAACCAGAGAGAATCTGCAGAAGTGCAATCAACCTATCCACGCCCGAGTGCAGTCCATTCCAACCTGGAAGACCAAGACCATCCGGGCCGCCGTCCCCAATTTCTTGGCTGTAGTTTGGCCGTGTATGCACCAGAGACGCATCGACAGACTCCCATTGCTCTACGACCGCTCGGAAAACGTGGTCTGTGGTTCGGTGGATAGACAAAATCGTCGCTTTGCAATCATCTTTCCATCCAGAACCCGCCTGATCCTTGGGTGCGCACTTGTGGAGACAGACAAGCAGCTGCTCAGCTGCGTCGATCACTTGATCCGGGAAATAAGCAGGCGAAGAAGAACCAATTACTTCGGCGAGAAGAGTTCGGAGCTGGGCACCGAATGGACGGAAGATGGTGGTATGTCTTGGGATCAATTCCAGCAAGGCGTGAAGGACTATTTCCATGAACGGAGTGTTGGGCTTCGGTTTTCGGACTGAGCCCGACGGAGTCTTCGTGATGGTAGAGACCAAGTTCAAGGCGGCGGTAATGAATCCCGGAAGTTGCGGAGTTGTGATCTCACGGACAAGTGTTGGATATTGGTATGTGAGGTGGAAAATACGAGTTAGTGTGACGATACACATCTTTCTCGTGGAGATTGGATCGGGTTTCTAGAAACGCATCAGTCACTGGAATCAACACGGATTACAGGTTTCATACCGCGAGGATGCTTATCAAGCTGCGAACAATAGGCTCATAGCCGCGCAGGATTTCCCATTGACCAGCTTCGACTGTAGCTTTCACTAGAACAACGGCGGTCCATCTTCCCTCAACACTGCGGTCCTGCAACAGACTCGCCAGTCTAGTCTTCAATTTATGGATCTGAACAGCATTATCGGAATCTGATTTGCCAGATTTCTGAGTTTGAGGGGTAGAGAGCAGCTCTGCGCAATCGTTCAATGAAGTCGCAAGGAACGAAGCTATCGAGGGTAATTGCTCGACTGGAGTGGTTATCAGGCGATGCGTGACGGCGCGCAAAGTAGTGGAGGACATGGCGATTGGAACGGACCTATAAAACAGGTCTAGACCCAAACAGCAGTCCAAATGAAAAAAAAAAATTTAAAATTGAGTACAAAAGAATGTGAGAGTCTCATTGACAACTTTTTTTTCGCTCAGAAAGCTCGGACCAACACGAACCGTCAGTGTTAAATTACCGTCACGTACGTACGTAATCCCTCTCCACCCCTGGACGATCATCGGGCTTCAGCCTAAAGACCTCGGGATGTTAGCAAAGCTTAGTTCTTCTTCTCCCTTTTGTTATCGTTCACCTCCTGAATCATGGCTGTAAGTGTCTGTCTTGTGTTTCCTTCAACATGTGCTGTTTATATTTCTTCCAAATCATTGATACCACCCAGTATTTATGTTGACACGTGCGAACCAGGGGGGCAATGCCGAGAAGGGGCAGGGCTACATCGCAGCCTTAGACCAGGCGCGGAGTCAGGGAAAATGGGATGACCTCCCCGAATTGATTCGAAAAGTCACAAAACACGCACCGCAAAGGACTTGTACGCAATCGGCCCCTAGTTTCTTGATCTCAGCCTAACCGAGCTGTCTCTAGGCCTAATCCAGACCGCAACAGCGGAATCGCGTGTGATTGCATATCTTCAACAAAAGTCCTCCGGCGACTCATCTTCTTCCTTACCGGGTCTCGTCGAGCTGATACCGGCCCTGTTGATGACAATTGAGAACAGTGACGGATCACCACAAGAACTATTTCAAGCACAGGTCTGCGTGGGGTGGATACATTGGGCTTTGGACGATCAAGGACTTTCGGTATCGCGCCTTCCTAAGGACTTCGCGGCAACACTTGATAGTTTGGCCAGTGGAGGGGAGCAGCCTACTTCGTGGACTGAGGTCTGTTTAGTGAAGGGATGCTACATAAAGGGTATGTTTACTTGTTTGCTTCCGAATGTAGCCAGCTCTGGATCTGACAGTAACCTAGCAACCGCACAATCCACCGTTACGGACATTAATGAGACGCTGGAGACATTTACATCTCTAATCCCGTGGCTAAGCGGCGGCAAATTAGCCTCAATCACCACCTCGCAATTCTTGGACTGGTCCGAGACACTTCTGGGCAATGGTGCTCTTCTAGCCAGCAATGAAGTTATTAAACACATGCCCTATTCGGATTCTCGGCATGCAGATCTTGCTTTTCAACTGCTAAGGCTGTGGGCGGCTCATCCTGCCGTTAAACAGGGGGGCTCTGCTAAAAGCCCATCGAATGTGTGCCTGGCTCCCCGATCATCCGTATGGGCTGCTTATTATAAGTTGCTCACAGCGGCCTTACGGGGCGAGCTTACATACACGGGCCCCAATGATGGACCGGACCGCCCACAGCTCTCCAGTGAATTCCGCCGAGTAGAGACTAACTACGAACGCAGTTTTCTCTCTGAAATCTTGTTTCCTACGGCCAGCTCGCAGAATTCCCAAGTCGAGGAATGGGTGGAGCAGGTGATCAGTAACTGGCAAATCTTGTGTGGTCCCGAGTGGCAGGATTCGGACGTCGGCGAAGGAGGTCAGGATGAGGTTGGTCGTAATGTTTTAGAGGTGAGTCCGACAACATATCCCATCAAATCTCGTGTGCTAATAATTGTTGTCCTAGATACTGTACCGAGCAGCGGCAAAGACCTACCACTCTCATTTGGTACTCCGACGTCTCTTCCATGTTCATTCTGCTTTAACGGACTTTGACCTCGCTGTGAAGGCGCTCGATTCCTACATCGAAATCGTCACTGCAGCCAAAGAAAGGGCAGAGAAGTCTGCCGAGTCAGGAGAGCTGGAAAAGGATGAAGTTTTGCTGCAGACGCTCTCCGAAGGAGTCATATTATTGAGCTGTTATGGCTCGCTTGAAGAGGCAGAAAAGGCCCGAGATCTGACTGAAATGATTAGAGATTATGTTGACAAGCACAACACACCTCCCACAAACGGCCAGATCAATGGCAACTCCGTCAAAGTGCCAAACATCCCTCCCTCCGTTCTGGCCTCCTCCTACCGAGCCGTCGGTGTTGGACTTGCTTGCTGGGCAAGCTGGACTCCTGCGAATGAATCACGCGATGAAATCAGAGCCGATGCAATCGAATACCTCAAAAAAAGTCTTGCTCCGGAATTGGGAAGTAGCTTAAGCTATTCCTCACTTTACACACTAGGCCTTGTCTTGGCCGAGAACAGAGATTTGGACACTGCAATTGACTATGTCAAGTCAGCTCTGACGCCAAGCAGTTCGTCTACTGCGGTATCTGATGATCTTTCCAAAGAGCGTGACTTAGTATCTCTGTGGCATCTGCTTGCGCTGCTGCTGAGTGCGAAGCAAGAGTTTGAGATTGCTGGACGTTCATGTGAGGCTGCATTTGAGCAGTTTCCCCGAGAGTTGTTCTCAAAGAGTCATCGCGAGCGACGTTCAACAAAGCACTCGCAAAACCCCAACCGGCGCCCGGTCGTTAGCAGATTGCAAGGCAGAGAAAAAGAAGGCATTATCCAAACTCGCATTACGCAGCTTGCGTTCATCGAGCTCTTAGAAGGACCCGAAGCTGCTGTTAACCACAGCACAGAATTATTGAGTCTTTTTGGCATTCTTTTCCAAGACTTGAACCTCGAGGCTGGAGAGACCCAAGCCAAGGCAGACCACCTTGTACCACCAAAGAGCTCTGCCGGAACTATCAAAAGCATTCGGGGAAGTATTTTCGGCCGAAACAGAACAAACCAAATACCAGATCGCCGTGCTGATCAGAGTGATCAGAGTAATGGTTCTGACTCTGTTGTTCTCGTTCCACCCACCCCGGCTATTCCCAATGGTCTTGTGACGGATGCCCCATCAGTTCAAGTCACGGGTGAAGACCCCCACAACCGTCAGGGACGACCACCAACAATTGGGAGGGCAGATTCCAAGAAATTGAAAAAGCGAAGTTCAAGCTTTCATAAAAACGAGAGGCCGCGCGTGGAAGAGCCTCCGCTTCCTACTGCGGACGAAACATCCGCCGAAGAGGCCGATTTGGCATTTTCTGGCAACACATCACCGGAGTCTGCGATCCATATTACCCAAGGCAAACAGCCACTGCCGGCGATGGCACACAACATGAATCACAAAGATCAAGCTCCCCCCGCTGGCCATGAGGAACAACCCCCTACGCAGGAAATATGGCCCCCAATCAGCCACCGTTTCGATTCTCCCACAAGCGCTGTCACGAAGTTTTCTCTTGCTCAATCCCAGAAGCATGCCTTGGGTCTTCTCATTGAAATATGGCTTGTAATTGCTGGTCTTTATCGCAGAGCGTCTCTGTTCGACGATGCCCGTGAAGCTTGCGAAGAAGCCTCGAAACAAGCCGCGCGAGTAGAAGCACTTGTTGCTTCACTTGAATCCTCAGCTCGTTCTTTTAGCAAGCGCGGCTGGGGTGCTTCAAAAAGCTCTGAGGAGCTCTGGGCCGATGTCTACGCGGAACAGGGTCTCTTGTCCCAGGCTCAATCGAGCCCTCATCAGGCCATCAGGCACTTTGAGGAAGCGCTGCTGCGCTACCAAGACCACCCAACAGCGACCATTGGACTTGCCAATCTTCTCTTGGATATTTGGGACCAGAAATTGACCCCAGAACCATCGAATGCTGACGTGGATCTTAACGTCTCTCGTCTGTCATTGCTCTCGGAGACCCCGAAGCCCCAGTCCGCGAAGGCTATCTCGACCGACGATCTCAAGGTATCAAGCGATATCAAGAATGTGGGCGCCGAAGACGCCCCTCTATCTGCGCAAGAAGTCGAGCCTAAGCAACTGCATCGTCTCGCGGCCCGCGATCGCGCCTATGGGCTTCTTTCGGCGTTGACAAAGCTCGGGAGCTCCTGGGACAACTCCGAGGCTTGGTATGCGTTGTCGAGAGTATATGAGGCCGGTGAACAGGTCGAAAAGCTGAAAGAAGTGCTTTGGTGGTGCATTGAACTGGAGGACCGACGGCCAATTCGGCACTGGTCTAACATCGGCTCCGGTGTCTATGTCCTCTAATCAACACAACAAAATCCTGCATCTTCTTGTATCTACTTCATTTGCCCCCCTCTGGCAACTGAACTTTTTTTTGAACGAGATACCTTGTTTATACTATGAGGGTTATCACTGTTACTATAATTTCCTTGAAGCGCAATTTTGAAAACCGACTTTCTTTGTAAAAAAAATAAAAAACTACGGGCAAAACGACTTTATATACATTTCCCAAATCGACCAATGAGCTGCCAGTGGGCAAAAAACGGGGGAAGGGATCAGTTGGACAACAAGACAAGTGGATTGATTCTGCTACTGCAAATAAATCTACCGCGGAGCAGCGGTGGGAGTCCAAGCAGTGATCTTGGGCCGGGTGCTAGAGCGACGTTAGGCTATACACAGGAAAGACTGAAATGTTGCACAAAAAGGCATTGCACGTACGTGGAGTAAGTCTTGAATGCAGCGCGGCTCATAGTTGGGTTGGCGCGGTGCTCGGACAGTTCCCAGGGACGGAAACCGGACTGCATGACCTTGTCGGCGGTTGGGGGTCCGTCAACGGCGTAGGCAATCCAGGCGTGCCTAAATAGTGTTAGTTCCATATTGTCATAAATGGATTTCCAACCCAAATTTTGAGAGAAGCGTTTACCAGCCAGGCTCAATGTGGGATGTATCGTATTCGGCCTCCTTGTAGTCGACCCATCGTGTTCGGACTGAACAGGGAAGTACCATTAGAACTTCATGTTTCAATATGGCAATGTGAGTGGAAGAGTATTCTTACGGGGCAATTCCTGCAAGTTCTCAAAGTATTTGTTTCCGAAGCCGTCGATTCCGATCAGAGTTCCGGCCTTGGTATCACCTGTGAGTGCGTACATTGTTAGTGGACTGCTGGGCAGATATTGAGAGAGTGGCAACGTACCAATGTTCTATACCACGGCAAATAGGGATATAGATTAGTCTCGAGCTAATTCAAATGACCTGCTGTTCCGGGGGAAGCGTCCGTAACATACCTGCATCTGGTGGGCGGCATCCTGTACAAGTGTGTTAGCAACCGAGTTTCTATATATAACAGATCGCAGTTAAACGAACCTTGAAGCCGACCCGGCGAAGGTTGCGCAGCGTCCTCAAAATCGTCGACATCTTTGCTGGTATATTGTGCTAGAGCGAATGGGGTGCGAGAGATTGGCGATTTGAGGTTGCAAGAGGGTGGTGTGTTTGCATTGTTTGCACCGTGCTCTACCATGGATGTCCCGATTCAGAAAACCCTCGACCTCGGATATTTAGACATGTTCGGTCGCATAAGAGGGCAGACGCTCCGTGACGCTGGGCGTCGCCCAGTCGCGTGTCGGAGACTGTGTGCTCGCCAATTTTCTGCGCATACAGTTCCAGGCGCTACGACTGCAGCATCCGCTCCTTCACCTCTAGCAGCCATCACCGCGGAGCTAGACCGTATTGCTCCCCGATTCTCGGTGCCTGCGTCTCAGATTCATATCATTGACTCTCCAGCCAATTTTTACTCTACGTTGAAGGTGTGTTCCACACTATTTTTTTCGAAATAGTTTGGTGCTAACTCCCAGTTCCGCAGAATAAAATCCGCAATGCCCGGCGGCGCATTTACCTCTCTACACTGTACATCGGCAAGACTGAATACGACCTTGTCGACACCTTGAGCCAAGCTCTCCGCGGTAACCCAGATCTGAAAGTTTCAATTCTCACAGATGCTCTGCGCGGTACACGAGAGACTCCGAATCCTTCATGCGCATCACTTCTTTGTTCTTTGGTTGAAGAGTACGGACCCGAACGAGTCGAGATTCGGATGTTCCATACTCCCAATTTGACAGGTCTAAAAAAGAAATGGATCCCCTCCCGCATCAACGAAGGCTGGGGCTTGCAGCACATGAAGTTGTACGGGATAGACGATGAGATCATTCTGTCGGGGTACGTTATCTGCGGACCGGCACAATCGTGGGATACTAATATATTTGCAGAGCAAACTTATCTGAGGAATACTTCACCAGCCGTCTAGATCGATACCATGTGTTCGACTCCAAGGTGCTGACCGAATACTACGCTGGAATCCACCATGCAATCTGCAGTCTTAGCTTCCAGGTGCTGCCGGACCCTCGAAACAAATCTAGCTATATTTTGGACTGGCCCGCCACAAATAAATTACCCTCTCCTCTTGATGATCCCCAGAATTTCATCGCATATTCCTCGACATTCTTGAGCCCGATCATTCAGGCTTCTGATAACAAACCTCTACTTCCCTCCTCATCAAGTCAAACCTACGTATACCCTGTGTCGCAGTTTACTTCTCTCATGCAACCTGATGACACTTCTACCGAATACCCTGCCGTGACGACTATTCTCCATCTCCTGTCGAGCTCATCAGTCTTTGCCGGTGCCCGCTGGCTCTTCACAGCAGGGTACTTCAACATGCACCCTGTTTTTTCCTCCCTCCTAATTTCCAGCACGACCACCGCTACGAAGACTCCTACTACCACGAAAGGCACCGTTCTGACGGCCTCGCCCTGGGCAAATGGATTCTTTGGTTCTTCTGGAATCTCGGGGATGCTACCAGCCGCATATACACATCTCTCTGCCCGCTTCCTTGATCGCGTCGCCGAGGCACACGCCACCGAATCTGTTAAACTGAAGGAATGGCGCAAGGGCACTGTTGGTACGCCAGGCGGATGGACCTACCATGCCAAAGGTCTGTGGATTACACTGCCGCGCGAGGAACACCCCAGCCTCACGTTCGTCGGTAGCAGCAACTACACGAAGCGCAGCTACAGCCTTGACCTTGAATCCGGTGCGGTGGTCGTGACGAACGATCCAGGTCTTAAGCAGAAGCTGGGTGAAGAGACGGAGCGGCTTCAGAAAGATGCCAGCCCTGTCTCGAGAGATGACCTGATGCGAACTGAAAGACGAGTCGGATGGAATGTAAGACTTTCCATGTGGATTGTAGAGAAGGTTGGCGGCGCCTTCTAAGTCTCTTGTTGGTCTTTTGTATAGATCTTTTTTGAAAGTAATAGCGAATCTGTAATATACTAGGTATAGATTGATGTTATGGCTAAGGCTATCACACCATCCGAGAACATCTCGCCTGACACATGCACTACGATTCCATCACTCCAAATTCAAATACACTAGAAGAACGCTACCTAGAATAACCACAGCCCGAAATACCTCCATGTCGATTTAACAAATTGTCGCCTCAGAATCCTGGATCAGCTTCGATCTAGATGACACACTCCACAAATTTCGACGAGCCTCGGCCAACGCCTCAGTCCGCTTTTCGAATCAATTGACGCTTCAAACAACAAGGTTAGCGTGTATTTCCTCAAAGACACATTCCTGCGGTGCAAACGCAACTGCCTTCACAGATGGCAGGACCTTCAAGCGAGTATCGGCGCGAATGGTTCGGGCGTCTTCCTCAAGCGCACGGGCTCATTGATGACGAACGATGTCGGCAATTCTAAGGTCGATGGGCTATCCGGTGTTGTGAAACATGGTATCGCCGCTGAAGATGTTGTATTCTTCGGTGATAATGCGATTGCGATGTGCAGTCTGCGCAGAAGGATGGGATCATGGCCGTTCTGTACGATGAAAAACAGCATTCTCGCTTGGATGGTCTCAATGCATTACAAGTGAATTCGTGGGCTGTTGTAGAAACTATTCTCGTCCATGGAGAGTAGTGGAGCATCAAGACATAAACGTAACTTTTGGTCAAGCCATCAAGAGATATCAACCCTAACGCACAGGTATGCCGTAATAAAATAATTAAAAAAAGAAGCCAAACGCCATGTCATGACTGGGGTTTCCCGTCGTCTCATATGCAGTGCAAATCTTCATCTAAGCTCTTCCAGAGACTTTGCTCTTCTCTAGGATTCGAGCTGGGCCGAGACCGGATCGCACCTCATCGAGCATTCTGATGCCAATGGCCTCATTGCCATTCCTGCCACGCTTGTGCTTGGCACCGTGTCGCTTCGCCTGTCCACTGGTGTTGGGGTCCCAGCTGGAGAGGAAGTCGTCCATGACGTTGTTGAAGGTGCTGCGGCTGTAAACGGCTTCCCCATTACCATCAACCAGACTAGGGGCCTGGGATGATGCGGTGGACATGCCCGTCATGCCCGTCATGTCGGTTGCACCTGTCATTCCACTGATCATAGACATGCTGTCATCGTATTCGTCTTCCTCGTCAAGAGAGTAGAGCTGCTCAACTTTATCAAATCTATCGTCAAGGAGACGGTGGCCTGCAGTACGAGCCAGGGCAGACGACGTCATCGAGTACGCAGACGGGTTAGTCAGAGCACCCTTGCGCTTTTTCCGGCGAATCGGCGTTCCGCCAGCAGTGAAGACGGTCGAAGCCATAGTCTGCGATGCTGCGATTGTGGGTGCAGCCGGTGCGGGAGCATTGCCGGCTTTAGCATCTTTCTTGAATTTGGCGAACTCGCTCATCCAGCTCTGATCAGTGGGCTGCATATCAGGAGCCGGCTTATCGTGTTCTGGCATCTCCCCGGGTTCCATTGTTGAATTCGCAGGCTCCTCTGGTAGTTCGTCGTCCATTGAGCGATGAGCCCCAGTGCTGTGAGGCTGTACGGGCGCTTTCTCCGTGGCATCCGACTCCCATCCGTCATCTTCGACATCGTGATCGAACAGAGAATCCTCCCAATCACCCTCGTCTATTTCCTCTGCATTGGCTGTTAATTCGCCAAAGATTCCATCGGCGTCGCCCTCCTCCACGAACGCTTCGTCCTCCAGCGCCTCCAATACCTCTCGCAGGCGCGGGTCCATGTCAGGCTTGAATCCAGCAATTGCGTCTGGGACGTTCTGCTGGTCCTGATAGGTTGGCTTGCGGACATATGACGAAGCAGTTGAGCGCATGTCGCCATATTGAGAGCCATAAAGGCTGGGACTAGCGGATGCGCCCTGACTATAAGTATCTTTATCCACGAGCGAGACTTGTCGCAGCGCATCTTCCAGCTTCATCCCACGACCAGCCCTACCCTTAGCCTTCTCGGCCTTGGCTTCGACAAAGTACGCATCTCCATTGCCGCTTCCTAGCTCGCGGAGATGCTGCATGTAATCGTAGCTGGAGTCATCGTAATAGACGCCGTAATTGGCAGCCTCGCCCTCATTTTTGCGAGCACTGTCACCGTATTCGGACTGAAGGTCAAATAAATTTGGTAATATCTTCTTCGAGGTGGTCGATGCGGAAGACGATGCGGGCTCAGGCGCGGGACCTCCGACCTGGTAGAGGAAACGGTCGTCCGCACTGGTATCGTGGATCAACGGGTCATTTTGAGACCGGTGAACGAGCTGGAATTTGCTCGCGTTCTTCTTGTCACTATGCATTTATCAGCTTTGGCGCCATCATAATCCTCCCGAGATACGTACATCCACTGTTTGGGCGGCATCTTTGGTTTTTTGGTCAAAGTTTTGGCATCGCAGAAAAAAAAGGGAAAAGTGGGATTGATAGGGTCACGTGTAGCTTATCGCCTCTCGTTCTCCGGGGTCCTCAAAATCTTCGAACTGTACGGACGACGGAGCATACGATGTTTAATGGGGGGTTTCTTTTCAAGTTCCACTCTATTTTTGTTTAATTGGAAAAATGAATCAGTGTGCAACATCGCTTGGAGACTTGGGTATACATTGGGCTCGGCGCTTTGGGGAGGCCCGCATCAATAGTGCTACTTAGTTATATGTTGGATCGCAAGCCATAGTCATGGAGCATATTGCGATTCATGGCAGAGTTATATTTATTGTTTATTTCTATTTTTTATACCTAGAAAACACCGTTAAAACGATGTAAACTGTACGGAGTAGAAAGAAAGTACTTGTGAAGCAGGGCCATCTACTTGTCTGGAAGGCTCTGGGCAGCGGGCCAGGCGGACAAAGGGGCTGAGTCAGCGTTATCTTATCCGTCTGAATAATCCAAAATTCCCTTTTTCAGGTGGGGGTTGTGCCTCTCGACTTAATTTTTTATTTCCTACAACTTTTTTCAATTTTAGGGAATCGAAAGTCATCGCCATTATGGTTTTGGCTAAATCCAAGAAATCGGTGGGACTGGGTGCCAGTCTCATGAACGATCGGTTCGGAAAGGGTAAAGCATCATCTCAGAAGAAGGTCTCTCACAACAATGCCATCCAGCGCACAGGTGTCAATGGGGAAACCTACGTCACCAACGAGGCAAAGGAGGCCTCATGGGTCAAGATGCGCAGTATCACCGAACAGGCAGCGCTCGACGAATTCCTGAGTACCGCTGAACTGGCCGGAACGGACTTCACCGCTGAAAAAATCAACAACGTCAAGATCATCCACTCCGATCAGAAGAACCCCTTTCTTCTCACCCCCACCGAAGAGAAGAAGGCTTTCATTAAGCACCAGAAGAACAAGGACCGCCTCACTGTTCCCCGACGACCCAAGTGGGACCAGTCCACAACTCGAAATGAACTAGAAACGATGGAGAAACAAAGTCTGTTGGACTGGCGACGAGGACTGGCTGAGCTGGTTGAGAGCCATGATCTGCTGATGACCCCATTCGAGCGCAACTTGGAGGTCTGGCGCCAGTTGTGGCGTGTTATTGAGCGGTCCGATCTTATCGTGCAGATTGTCGATGCGCGAAACCCGTTGCAGTTCCGGTCGGAGGATTTGGAGAGTTATGTCAAGGAGATTGATCCTCGAAAGCAGAACTTGCTGTTGGTTAACAAGGCCGATATGTTGAGTCTGAAGCAAAGAGAAGCTTGGGCTGAGTACTTTGAGAAGAACAACATCAACTTCCGTTTCTTCTCTGCTCACCTCGCCAAAGAGAAGAACGAGGCCCTCGCTTTGCAGGAGGAAGGAAATGACTCTGATGCTGAACTTGCTCAGTCGGTGCAAAAGATCAACGTGCATGCTACCGAGGATGATGGATACAAGAAGGAGGAGACAGTAGAGGAAGAAAGAGCTAAGCTTGCCGACCCTCGGCGTTCACTTGGGCCACATATTCTGGACACTGAAGAGCTGGAAGAGCTATTCTTGGCCAACTCGCCAGAATCACTACCGCACGATGACGAGTCTGGCGAAACCAAGCGGAAGACCACAATCGGTCTGGTCGGTTACCCCAACGTGGGTAAGTCTAGTACCATCAACGCCCTACTCGGTGCGAAGAAGGTCTCTGTCTCTGCCACACCAGGTAAGACCAAGCATTTCCAGACTCTCTATCTCTCCCCCGAGATTATGCTTTGCGATTGTCCCGGTCTTGTGTTTCCCAACTTCGCCACCACCAAGGCCGAGTTGGTCGTCAATGGTGTGCTACCCATCGACCAGCAGCGTGAGTTCACCGGTCCCGCCGGTATTGTCGCCAAGCGTATCCCCAAGCATTTCATTGAGCAGGTATACGGTGTCAAACTCAGAATGCGTCCCATCGAAGAGGGCGGCACTGGCGTCCCCACTGCCAGCGAAATTCTGCGTGCCTATGCTCGCGCCCGCGGTTTCTCCACTCAGGGTATTGGTCAGCCCGACGAGTCCCGCGCCGCACGATACGTTCTGAAGGATTATATCAATGGCAAGCTTCTCTGGGTCAACCCTCCCCCAGTCGCCGAGGACGAAACTCCAATCGACACCGTTGAGTTCAATAGCGATCTATACGACCTCGCCCATCTCCCCGAGAGACGCCGGGCTCAGCTTACACAAGCCAAGGTTGGAAAGCACTCCGCTGTAGCAGATGTCGCTGCAGGGTCCGCTGGTGACGTCGACTTGGAGAGCCCCTCTGGCCTAACCAAGATTTCCGTCGAGCCGGAGCTCGGTCGCGTCTCGCGCAACCTTGATACTGGCTTTTTCGGCTCAGAAACAGGCCCGTCTGCTGGCCGTCTGACCCTCCCCTTCCAGTCTCGGTACACCCAACAGGGCCAGGAGATGCGCAAGGCGCCAACCGGCCGCAAGGAGCGCATGATGGTTGCTCTTGAGCGTGGCGTGGATGTCTCTGAGGTGAAGGGCAACATCGGCTCGAAGAAACACTTCAAAGCAAACAAGCGCCTGGCCAAGAGCAAGCGCAACAACCCTGAGGATGACGACTACTAAAAAGTGATTTTCTATATACTTTCATTTGTTGTATTGTTGCTTGCGCTCTCGCAGGCGAGTCGAGGGAGATCGTACCGCTCTCCCTCTGCTCTACGAGGTATCATTTCTGGGCTCATGGGTCTTGGGATGAATGAAATGAAAAATGGTCCTACATGTGGGATTCTTCACGTCATGTCGGGATTGAATGTTAATGTCCATGCTTGTTGAGGAATCATCTTTTTGGCGTTGTGGTTTTTTTTTCACGAGTTGAATAACGAATTATACCGGTCATTTATTCACTTGATCCTATACCAACTTTATTCTACCGTAAGACCAACAAGTCCAAAAATACAAGTTTCTACTGAGCATGTTCGTGCATTCTTATTCAGCCGAAATAGGCAGCAGACTATATCATAGAACATATCTCTCCATCCTCTCAAAGATGACTCTTAGGCTTGAGCCCAGAAGCAGCAAGCAAGCGATCAGCCTCCTCGCGCTGCCAGTTCAACTTAGCAGTAACCGCATCCTTGCGAGACTTGTTCTCGCGCGTACCCAGTTGCTGCAAGTGAACCTCATCAGGACCATCGGCAATGCGCAGAGTACGAATGCCAGCCCACAAAGACGCAAGCGGAGTATCCTGACAAACACCGGCCGCACCATAAGCCTGAACAGCACGGTCAATGATAGTAAGCGCCGTCTGGGGAACGAGAATTTTAGCCTGAGCGATCTCCTTCAGCGCGCTCTTGGCATCACCCTGATCGATCTTGATAGCAGCGTTCAAGACAACGAAACGGGCAGCATCGATTTCAATCCGCGACTTGGCAATCCACTCGAGGATGACACCGTGCGCAACCAAAGGCTTACCGAAGGTCATCTTGCGCTCGTCGTTGACGCGGGCAATCAGCCACTCAAGAGCACGCTCCGCAGCACCAATCGTCCGCATAGCGTGGTGAATGCGACCGGGTCCGAGACGGCCCTGGATAATCTCGAAGCCGCGACCTTCGCCGAGGACTATGTTTGCTGCGGGGACACGCACGTCCGTGAATGTAATGTGGCCGTGGCCGTGGGGGGCATCATCGTATCCGTATACTGTCAACATGCGGTGCACTGTGATGCCAGGGAGTCCGGCTGGGACAAGGATGACGGATTGCTGCTTGTAGGTGTCTGGGTTTGTGGCATCGGTCTTGCCCATGACGAGGTAAACTGCGCAGCGGGAATCGCCGGCGCCGGAGGACCACCATTTCTGTGATCTGGCTGTTAGAAGATCTCTACGATAAGAAGTGGGTTGGTAGGGATTGGAAAAGTACGCACCGAGCCATTTAAGACGTATTCATTGCCCTCTCGACGGATGTTCAGTTCAATATTTGTCGCATCGCTAGATGCAACGTCTGGCTCAGTCATCAGGAAAGCAGAGCGGATCTTGCCCTCCAGGAGGGGTGCAAGCCACTGCTTCTTTTGTGCGTCATTGCCGTACTTGGCGAGTACTTCCATATTGCCGGTATCTGGGGCAGAATTGTTAGTAGCCTGGTGAAAATAGAACAGACATCAGCGATCGATCACATCAATTTGGAAGATGTCTCCAGCGAGTAAAACAATGGGCCAGAGAAAGAACAGAATAACCCACCTCCGAGGCAACCTTACTCTTGCCGAGCAACTCGGCCATCAATCCGTATTCCAGATTTGAGAATCCAGCACCCTGAGTGAAGTGGTTCTTAGGCAGGAACATGTTCCATAGGCCAAGCTTCTTGGCCTTCTCTTTCAGGTTCTCCAAGACGGCTGGGGTGGTAGTCCATCGCTTCTCTCCTTCGCCAAGCTGGGCGGCGAAGACGGTGTCGGCAGGGATGCAGTCTTTTTCAACAAATTCCTCGACCTGGGGACATGTTAGCATTGATTATCTCAGTATCAGAATCAACAATCCAGGAGGTTCTGCTGCCCTGGGTTAGGGTATTGGGAATGAATTACCAAATCAAGCGTCCGCCTGGCCTGTTCACTGACGAATGGCAGGGCGATAGGTGGTATACGAGAAGAAGCAGACATTCTAGAATGTACCGAAGGATTAAATTGAGGTTAAATCCAAGACTACGAGGGAAGTATAAAAAGGAAACGTAACGAGAGGAAGTGGTGGATTGCGGAGAAGTGGAGAAGCCGACGGTTTCTCTCCAGGTGCCTCGGCTCCCGAGGTCAGCGACTGGAGCATTTGGTGATGACATTGTCGATATCTCAGTACTCTGGCGATCAGGTCATGCAAAGACAGCTATGGCCAGTTCAGCAACAGGAAACCAAAAGGGGCATATAAAAGGAGCCCAAAAGATATAGCTCAGAATCATTGCGGCCCTGCTCCAGCATCGAGCTATTGCCGAAAATGGCAATCATTTCAACATCCGAGAGCTGTATGAACTGGACTGGGTTCCTAGCTTACGGGCATAGTACATAACAGCTACGTCGAAAGATCCAAGCCCTAACTATAAAAAGGGTTGATTTTATTTCAATGTGCTCCATGTGATATCCCAAGTACAGTTCCATCCATCCCAGACCCCCCCCCCCCCCCGGCCCGTACGCACCAAAAGAAAATTAAAATTAAAAAACAAAGGCATTGCAGGTCATCACACAAAAGGAAAACATGTAGAATAAGAATCCTAGCTCACAGACCTGATCATATCCAAGATCTCAAATCTGCCTTTCCTCAATGCATCCGACACAGCGACCGGCGCCGAGTAAAAGAGATTGAAGAAAAGACCGTAGGACCAGAATTTGAGGGGAAAGAAAAGAAAAGAGTATGAAGAGTCAACACATGTCAAAAGAACTGGATCTTTTTAGTTTTCAGTCCGGCCCTGCTCGGCTGAAGATTGTTCGTAGCTCTTCTTACCGAGCTTAGCGAACAGGGACTGGGGCTTGCCGGCACTGCAGAGTGTTAGGTTGGAGGCCCAAAAAGTAGCAAGTCCATGGGAAATCACATACTTCTTAAACCGCTTGCCCTTGATATCGCTCAACTTCTTGGTGCAGGGGCTCATGATATCGTCCGAGGGTGAGACGTACGAGTTTGGTTGTCTGTGATGGATGGTAAGTTTCTTGTATCATGACAGCAAGAAAGATAAGAGTCTGAGGGTACTCACTCCTCGTTCGTTACTTTGTCCTGCAGAACCTGGCGGTGGTACTCCAATGATGAGATGTCTGAGCCCTTCTCGGTCTTGTCGCTTGTACTGGTGAGGGGGGTGTTGGTTGAGCGGTCGGCCAGAGGCTGAGCTTGTGTGGTGGCATCCATTTTTGTAGATATTTTCTGGATTTGAAGAGAAGTGCAGTGATATGTAGTGTGTAATAGAGAGGATGAGGAGGGAAGAGGGTTAACAAAAACAAGTCGGATAAGAGAAGAAAACGTGTTGGAGAAAAATGGGAGATTGTTGGCTGGGCAACTGAGTATGACGCCACATATTCCCTCCAACCAGATATTCAACGGGTGACTATTGTAGACTTTTATTCTCGGAGTTCGGGTTCAAGGTATGCAAATAACACTTATGACAGTAATAGACAAAGTAATAAGTACAGGATTAAAACCAGTGGGAATCATGTTGTCCAATTGTGCACGAAATAGGGTACAGTGTACAGATGCAAAGCGCTAGCAAATAAAGGTCAAAATGCAAGGGTCATAAAGCTATGGCCAAAGCCATTTAAACTGTGAGAGGGAGGATCACAGCTCCGGTGACCATGGATTGTTGGGGTTGGTTACCAGGTCAACATTAGCCGGTGTAGTCATATCCAGGTCAACGGGGCGCCCGTTCAATACAGGCGGCGTACTCTGAGAACGGGGTTGTGGTGTTGCCAGAGTAGGCACAGACATGGGCCCGGGAGACGCAGGTTCTTCTACCTTGTCCGTATCCTCAACATCTCTTTCTAGAGAAGAGGACGTAGGAGTCAGCGGGGAGTAGGCCGCGGTCGGACTAGCAGCGCTATCTTGGTTAGACGAGTCAGACAGATTCCTAACATGGCCACTGTTCCCGCGGTATGAGGACGGAGTTGGGCGTGTCGACCCCGGGCTAGCCGACGGAGAGGCAAAAATTGGAGATGAAGACCGCAGACTAGAGGACCGAGCGACCATTCTTTGGACCGCAGGGAATTCCATGTAGCTGCTTCCCGATCCCCGTGAGAACAGGGCGAGGGCAAAGCAGCAAAGGACCATGATACTCTGGATCACGGTGACTCTCTTCTGGAAAACTAGTTCGTCTGCGAGGACTCCGAGCTGGCCACTTAGGGAGTGGACTTCTTGATGGTACTGCATGCGCTGGTGCTCAAATTCAAGAGCAACGGACTTCCAGATGTGGTCATACTGATCGCGGAATTCTTTTAATCCAGTGAGAACAGTTACGTTGAGGTTTTCAAGGAAGGTAGATGTCTTTGCTAGCTGCCGCTTCTCGACCTTGTTGAACGCATCACGCAAGATGCGGGATTGTTCTTCGATGTAGAGAAGAGACAAGGTTGAGTTCGACTCAAGCATCTGGAGCCGCTTGTGGACGGATTTGTAGAAGGATTCTTGGGTTGTGGGGTTTGCAGATGGCGGTTGAGTGTTTGTAGGCCTCGTAGACTCTGGGGGAGGACTGTTATGCTCTTCCTTGGCATTGGTAGTGGCTTTCCCGATGGCCTCGGATGTGGCATTGTCATGAGCGGACTCCGGAGATACGCTAGAAGCATCCGGGGCAGTCACGGCATATTTGGCAGGCTCACCCTGCTTCCGGGTATCCTCGGCTTTTGGAGGAGCGGGTGGTCCAGCGTGGGTGGCGGAGGGACTACCTCCGACAGCAGCAGTAGAGTTCTGTTTTGGTGGTGGATAGGTCTGATCCGTTGTGCCTGACGTCGACGGAATTGTAGTAGCAGACAGCCCATCATTGATGTCGCAGATATCCGTATCGTTATGTTTCGCAAAAGGGGATGCGGCCTCTGATAGAGGGCTTGGACAGATCTCACCCTCTGTAAGGCTAGATTCCACCGCAGGAATGAATTTCTCGATTAGCACCTCGACAGGCTTAATTTCCAGTTCTTCGAGCAGTTGATTGGCTTCACTGGCCTCTAACTCCTCAACCTCAGCGCGATCAGAGCTCTCGCCATGCTTGTATTCTTCCATCATGGTGGTACCATGCACCCGAATTAAGCTTACCGGGCAAAAGAACTCATGCCCATAATGCGTAAGGAACTCAACTCGAAGATATCGAGCCCAAATCAGCGAGTTTTCTACTGCGAAAGCTTGCACCTCACGAGTGTTGCGTGCCTCGTAGATCCCAAGTTCTTTCCATTGGTCTGGTTTCGCGGGATACCGATCCGAGACACTAACCCGGAATGTGTGGAAGATAGAGCTGAAGAACTCATAGTTGGCAAGGACAACCGTGTCAACCAAAATATCATCGCACAGTTCCAGGATGAGAAATTTGTTCTGAGCGCGACACTCATTGAGCATATAGCTGTCCTTGTTCTCGATGAGTACAGAAGAGGAGCCCTTGCATTCAGGATTCGTCTTCAGTACCGTTGCCGCGCAGTCAAAGGAAGCATAGTTGAACCGCTCCTTGCAAGTAGTGCCGGCATCCTTACGGCGCGACGCATCCCTCTGGAGCGCACCTTGCCCGTGAACATCCACATTGCCTCTCATATCCGCGCCCCCTGCCTGCCTGGCCTCGCCTGACGGGATATGCGAGCCCCAAGCGGTAGGACTAGCCTCGGGCGTCTCAGCACCGAATCCGCCAAAGTCCAACTCGATCTCTGAATCGTCGCCGAGGGAATCCAAAGCGTTATTGATTCCCGCCGGCTGCCGACGGTCTTCCTTTCCAACCGTCGCGGCACGTCTGCCACCTCCAACATTCTCAGCTGATTGCCCGACCTTCGCTAGGTTCTGTTTCTTCCAGTCCTCAAATGAGAGGAAACTAGCACTGTCTAATAGCGAGTCTGTATCTTGGTCCTGCTCTGCGTTCTGGTCTACGGTCGTTCGAGCTGTATCTTCTGTGGTCCCGCTCGAGACACCAGATCTATCAATGACCGGGTCGTTGGCTGCCGCACTTGGATCGGGTGATGTCGAAGCAAGGTACATATCGCGACCCGGTCCCCAGCGCGTCTCTAGACATGGTGGCAGGTGAAAGAGCTCTGCCTCTGTTTGCCGGATACTCTTCGCCGGACATCTTGTCACTAGTGTCGTGGAAAGGGCACCCTGCGCAGTGTTGGAGGGTGGCTGGCCAGTCGCATTGGAGAGTGCGTTGGGGCAAAGAGCCAGAATGATCGAGGCAAGGTATATCCAGGAAGTCAAAGACCGGCCCGCGGTCAACATTCTGTCGATTGGATGATCAGATAGTCGCACGTGTATAGCTCCCTCGGTGAGTTCAAGCTATGAAGTCGACCTGCATGCTACGCGCATCGTGGCTAGGAGAAAGAACAGTAGACTTGGTGAAATTCTTGTATCTTGCTTCAAGTGCGAGGGATTGCGATTAAGTAAAGCCGAGCTTGGCGACAAATGGCGGTCTCTCCAGTAAGAAATGGACCAAGTGGAACAAACAGCAGGTGCAAGTGGACCGGTGGCATCCTAGCACCGGGCTCTGACCGCCTTTCAACTGGAGCACGCTAGGAAGTACGGAGTACAACGTTCACAATTCTAATGAAGACTACAACTACAACGTACAGACTATTCATTAAATGATTTTACAGAGAGCGCAGATCTTCGCGGATGATGATCAATTTTCCCTTTTCACTGTCTCATATAACTAGTTACAGTATAGCACAATCAAGAGAAAATGGCCGCGGTAGTTTCACCAAGGCACCACAATGCCAGAACAGATCGGCTTCACCGCAACTCAGGCCACCCTTTTCCCTGAAGAATCCACGCCAACCCTGTAGTTCGTATGGTGTGCGAAAGCCTCCCATACAGAATCAAATATCCGCCAGCGCATTCCGAACCAGCCTTCTAACCTTTTTGTGATTTTTCGTACTCGTTGTCTCCGCCAGTGTTCATGACCCCCGGTCTGATGTTGTACAAGGAAAAAAAAAAAAAACAAGTTTGGACGACCGGGGGTTATGCAATGCACGTGGCAAAACACCATTGACGATAAGACGGAAACAGACGAAACACTCAATCCAAGAACAAAGAGACATAAGACAAGAGAGCGGATCATTAATTTAACGTGGGTTATTTTGAACTTTTTTTTCCCAACTGAATCGAAACATGCAAGCAGACATCAACATGAGGGGAGAGTAGGGTAAGGGTAGAGTAAAGTGCAAGGGAATATCAAGCACCCTAGAAGTGAGCATCATGCCACCCACCAACGAGATCGAGATCGTCGTCACTATTTCCGTAATCGGGAGGAAGGGAGGTGTTGGAGACGTTGCTGCGCCAATCCTGCCGTTCGAGCAAATGGCGGCGGCGGGATTCCACGGGCGACGCGGGCTTGGATTTGGTCTGGTTGTATCCGCAAGTGCCTCGACCCCAGTCGTGTCGCCGAGCATTGGTAGCAACGCTCTTGGGACCAAACACCTCGCGCGACTTGCGAGGCTTGCACTTGCGCGATGCGTCCTCCGATTTGTAGTTGCGTCGCACGTCACCGAGCATCGACCATTTGTCGGTACTAGACGGCTCTTCTAGCGAGCTCCGCAAGGGGCGAGGCGTCCTGCTTGACGCACTCGAGTCGCTGTCTTCGTCCAGGGAAAGATCGCCCAGCACATTGGGTTCCATTTTCAGATCCACATCTGGGCCTTGAGAGCGCTGGATGAGAGAAGCGGAGTCCGGCTCGCGCAATCTTGGGAGGGTAGCTCCCTGGCTTTCTTGGCTCCAGCTGCGAGAGTTCTGCTCCCGTCGTTGAAGAACGGCAAGATCCTCAATCTCGGATTCCTCTTCGTCCCACATGTCGCACCAGCTCTTTGAGATCTTGTCGGCACCTTTGTTACCAAAGACCATCGACAAAGAAGGCAGGGGCTTTGTTGCATGTGACGGCAGTGAGCCAGTAATTGAAACGGGATCAGAGCGAGGAAGAGTCGGAACCTCACGCTTGCGAAGATTGAGCAAGACGAAGGATTCATTGAGTTGAGAGTCGAAAACAGAAGATACTGATGGAGATTCCATGTGAGACGAGAACCAGGATGTACCCGCAGCTTCGGAAGCCGGGAACAAATCCTCGGTATAACTCTCGTTGTCCGGGATGACAGATAGTTGTCGGATAGCCTGAGGGGGGCTTGTCTGGAGCGCCTTTGCCCATGGGAAAGAATCTCCCTGGTTGATAAAAGGGCTTTGGAGAGACGGGGTGCGAAGGGGCTCGCGGTTGGCGCTGGCAGCAACCACCTCGCGATCTTCGGTGCAAAACTCATCGAGAGATTCGTCGTCGGTGGTGAAAGATACGACGCGGCTGATGCAATCGCGCACCTCCAACAAAGACCTCTTAGATGGGTCGATGGCCAATGCATGGGTCAAAACCTCGTAAGTGTCTTGCGACATGTTCGGGAAGATGTCGAAAAGTGACTGGCGATCGCGCACATAATCCGCAAAAAGGACATCGGACTCGGTGGGGGTGACAAAAGGATTACGAGCAAACAGAATGTTCAATAGACAGATGCCCACAGACCAGATGTCGGCCTTAGCGGGGGAGTATCCCGTCATTGTCGGATCATATTGCTCGGGGGCCATGTACCGGTCACTGCCAACACATGCTTCGTAACTCCACGAGTCTTGCGTAGCGAGACCAAAGTCGCCTAGCTTCATGGAGCCATCCTGTGTGAGGAAGATATTCTCCGGCTTGATGTCACGGTGATACAAGCCTTTGGCATGCATGAAGTCGACAGCACTAATCAGCTGCAGCATGAAATCCCGAACGTGCTCGGTCTCCAGTGGACCACGATTATGGCTGATAGCCTCGTAGAGATCTCCATTGGCACAGTACTCCAAGACAAGGTATTTATGAGTCTCCGTGTCGAATGTATGGATCAAGTTGACCAGGTTCGGATGAAACCCAAACCGTCGGTGACACTCGAGTTCTTCGGAGCGATCATCCGAGCCAGTTGAGGTCACCTTGGTTAGACGTTTAATCGCAACATCCTGGCCCGTCTTGGTATCTGTGGCAAGGAATACCATTCCAAAAGACCCATGGTTAAGAGGGGCCACGGTTCGAAAGCGACCATCCAAGGTTTGGCCCTCAATGAATTCTTCGTTCAAACACTCCATGGTCGACATGTTGGCTTGATGATCCCAAAAAAAAGGACGGATGCAGAGATGAGTTGAAATGGGGGAAGGGACAGATGTAATGCTCCAACAAAGAGATGAAGTGAATACAAGTCTATGAGTCGCTTTAAAGAACAGTTAAGCGTCTCAAGAATGCGTCAAAAGTGGGACAAGCAAAAAGCAACCAGGCTAATGAAAATTAAAGAACAACGAAGAGAAGTATCAGGCGCGGGATCTCAAGAGGAGTAGAGACGAGCGAAAAGAAGAGTTGAGTGTTATCAGGATATGGTGATAAGAAGAAACCCTGACTGGCGCAAAATGTCATATAAAAAGAAAATGTACGGGTGAAAAGTGATGGACAGATGAAAAGAGGAGAGAATGACGGCGCAATGGCGTAGTTGAATGGACCCTGGAAGGGTTGTTGACGCTAAGGAAATTGGTAAAGACCGTTATGTGCTCATTTGTATGTCGTTTTTCGTTGGTTAACGGGAAGGGGTCCCAGGTGGACGACACGAATATGTCAAAGAGAGATGGAGAAGTGTGTGAAAGTCGGCCTGATACCGGGTGAATCGAAGAGAGTCGAGATGAAGCGCTGCGTAATATCGTAATTGGAAAAAGATCAAAGATGTATAGGAGAAAAAAAACGGGAAAGAATCCTTCGAACACCGGGTTCAAGGTTGAATGCCGTGACTCAAGTTGAAGATAATTGAGATTAGTGAGTCATGAGGCCAGATGGTATTGTTGGGGGGAAGTTGGTTGGGCGACTTCAGGGATCCGGTAGAGCACCCTTCTAATCCAAGTTGGAAAAGTGAAGGTACTCGATGCCAGGTTGCCCCTGAGGTATGAAAATACGGAAGTGCTCTTACGACAAGGCTCAACCGAAGAAACGTACGATTGCCCACAACGGAAGGAACACTTTCGAATGGGAGCAACGAAGAGTGGGGATATTGATAGCACAATGGCAGTCCGACAGACCGGTGTTGGGACCCTTGTGTCGAGTTGATGGAAGTGAGTCACCCGTGCTCAGGGTGGATCCGGAAGACCAAGGAAAAAGGGGTTTAGAATGGAGAAGCTAAAGAAAAGCTCTTCTGCCGAAGATAGATCACGATCCGATCTTGGAGCTTGAAGTTGTCGATAGAAGAGAACAGGCGGTTCAGGGTTGGCAGAGTCTTGATGAAATGGCAAGCACTGGTAACCTTGGAAGAGTTGGAAGTGATGGAAAGGTGACGGATAAGTGATGGGCTGAGACAGGATTCGGAAGGGTAGGAAGGCGGAAAGGAAGATGGAATATAGGAGAGCGAAAGAGAAGATGATAGGGAACGAGGGAAGATGGAAATTGATGGTATAAGGGGAGAGAAGGAGCCAGGGAGAGAGAGAGAGAGGTGTTGTCAAGGCGTGAGGGGAATTGGAGAGGCAAATTGATTGGCCATACTGTCTGATACCGTAAAATACAAGTCTTCACTCATGGGCGGTTCGTCCGCATGATCCGCATTGCCCACCCAATTTTGGCTGACGCCCGAAGGTCCTTGGCCCGTTTCCGTCTCCCGGGAAAACTGGTAACGTATTGAATGCATACCGGTATTGACCACCAATCGTCTAGGCTCTCCAAGCTTCATGAACCTTCCAGGCATTCCTTATCCAAAAAGACGTCAATCGTCTACGTGATCTCGATTGTAGTGTCGAAATCAGTGTCGACGATAACGCGATAACGTCAAATTCCATTGATTGCCCGAATCGTCGGCCCATCACATCATGTACCCAGTCCTATCTTTCAGATTTCACTCTTTCGACCTTGTTTCCCACAATTATCGAGACTCTGGTTCAGAGACCGGCCAGTCACAATGACGGTTATCAGCAGGGGCAGCTCTTGCTCTTGGAGTCTCGTCGGCCGAAGGCGGATCAGGGTGGCGCACTACTCCCAATGCGTACAATTGCGCAGCCAATTCTGGGGAGGTCAGCCAATCAGAATAGATTATCTGGCCACTATTTCCAGACTGCATGACGCGATAGAGTGGAATGGCGTGATCCTTTCTGATTGGTTCACCCCGGAAACCCACTGCAGTCGGGTTCAGTTCTGCCGTCGAAGGTTATGGTGTACGGTGTGCTGTGCCTATAGGAAGGTACCCTTTCCGCAGGTACTCATGCACGGCGCGACTCGTTTCGGATAGTGTGGACCACCCTGGATTTTCCAAGTCTCTGCCAGTTACACCACTTGCTGCATTATTAACGTTATTCTTTGCCGCGCGGGATTTATGAGACAAGATTCGTCTGACCCATGCTAAACCAATCTGGTTTGCGGGGTCTGATGCAAATGTGTCTATCAGCGGGAAACATCGAGAGTTTGTTCTATCGATCGGACCCAGTTACTGATGTGCCTCCAGTACCAGCAATGGGGCGTTGGAGACTCTCAATCCAAAAACTACAAGACACGTATGTTGTATGTTGACTTGGAGTGGAGCGTACTCCCAACTGTCACGAGTCCCAACCACCTTTCAGACACCCACGCAGCCCTGTCAAGCGGTGAAGGGAAACGCCCTCGCTGCCCAGATGGTCTGGCCTTAGGTCAGGTTTGACCGCCTCCTGCACCCTGCGAGGTCAAACCTTGCAGGTCTCAGGTTGATGGGTACAATATATGCACTTTTTTTTCCATTCAAAAGCATGCTCAGAAGTACATAGTATCCAGGCTCTTGAAACGATAGAGTTGATGATATGTGGCACGACTTCGGTTTCCGGCAACTCCTGTGCGTCACGCGATGTCCCATCTACTTTGTGTGTACTCCGGACCATCACCCCATTCTATCCCCATGTCTGTCGGAAAAATTAAAGCCCTTCCAATCGAATCGTTGGGCGGTACATCATATCTGGAGAAATCCACCGCCTTTCGGTACAACATACAATCTCCCCTAGGTGCAGCGTACCAAACAAATCAACTCTATCGCACTCAGTTACAGTGTACCCAAGATACCACTTTGTATGGGGTATTGCAGGGAGATCTGCCGAAAGGCGATGTGCACGGCTCAGTATCTGGTCCTAACCTCCTCCTCTTCCATCAGCTATCAGCTATTGCAGTTGACTCCGTTGATAATCATTCCCTTTCCCTTTCATGCAGTCTCCTGAGTACAACACATAACTTTAAAAACAACATCCGTACACAGTATGCTGCATGGTTAAAAAAAAACAAAACAAAAACACCTACTCCGTAGCCTAGTCTACATCAAACCCTCCCAACAGAAAGAATTCGTCATCTAACGTTGCTCACGCACTAGAACTAAACGATCAACGTGTAAGAGTCAACCCCAGCGATTAATTCTCTATAACTGTCCTATCAGCCCCGGCTCTAGAGATGGGTTGAAACGTGTCTTTTCTCTGGGCTTGCTCTAGCTTGCGTGGTTTTGCGTACACAGCCACATCCATGACAACACAATGTAACATGTAATGATAAACATGATACCGGGACTGGAGTTATTTTTCCGAATGCGGCATTTACGATATGAGATATGAGATCCGAATTGCTTTATCAGGTCTCCGGAGCACGCTCCCGAGTACAAGACGAATCGGGGCGATGGAGTGGAAGTATCCTCCGATAGGGACGATAAGAGTCATATTCAGGCCTCGGAACAACACGCTCCGTACAAACAAGATAACATAGTCCAAGGTTCAATTGAAATCATCATCGACTCTGATTATCATGGACTATCATACCATACCCCGCACGATCGTCATTTCCCATGGTCATATCTGAGTTCTGAATTTGGATCCCATGTTAGACGGTCAAGGGTCCTCTTAGGATGGTCAGTCCGATAGTGGAAGTTAGTGTGGTATGATAGCAGGGAACTAGTACAGTAGTATGCATACTGTATACTGTGTAGGTTATGTGAGATAATGAGATCCTGCTTATGGAGAATGGACTTGGCAAGTCACAGGAGGGAGAACAGAGTAATTAAAACACTTACTGAGGGACCACTTCCCCGGATTTTGGTCTCAGCTGATTTTCCTCACTTGGACTACTCTCGAATGTCAATCTAATTTCTCCCCTATATGATACTAAACATGTCTACGGAGTACATCATGACGAGCCCTTCGTTCGTCCACTCTATAGACACGCAGAGCCCAAGCTTTCATTCCCTTTGAAGATTTCCAGTCCATATGTGAACGCTCAGGACTTGAGGATCCGTTGAAGGACCCGGTGCACTGCATATGGCCCGTGCGACTACGGAGCACGGAGAACGGAGTACTACAACATACATGTGCCCTTCACGACATCAACGTGCATTTGCATTGCACGATGGGTGCAGCACATTGTAGGGCGATCCCAGCCTCCTGTAGGTCTCTTTTTCTCCGTGTACGACTCCGCGCTGCTGCAGGAAAAGAAATCAAAGATTGGAATTTCCAAGGTTAATGCAAGGGTCCTTATTGTTTGAGGCTTTTTTGGGGGGGGGCGCATTGTGCGAGAGAACTTTCATGCTGTGTCAGTCTGTTCTCGACAGGTCGAGTTCTTCTTACCGTTGCCGAGTCAACCCGGGCATATCTCCCCTTCCTTTTTTTTTTTTTTTTTTGCCTTACAGAGAATCGATCGCCTTTTCTGCGGGGAGGCAGGGGGTTGGCGAATTGCCTACTATGAGGTGCAGCACATCTGCCCTTGACAGCGCCGTTGCTGTGGCTTACTGTCGCATCCTGTGACTCGATTCGACTTGGTATGTTCCATTTGAGTACCCATCAGAACACTATACATCTGAATTTAGCCCAAGCTCGAAAAGATACAACATAGGTGGCAACGTAGAATCCATAACCAAATCACCGTCCTCGGCCTCTGAATCCCACGCCACATTCCACGGGGTCCTGTCAACGTCATTCCACCCTGATTTCCCCCTTTCCGCTCAAGGTGGGTTATTGTTGCACTTAAATTAACTATCAACACTGTAATTTAAAAAAAAGACCTGAGTGACGTTGAGAGACCCATTCAAATAATGAGTCGGGTGGAGACCTGGCAGGACCAACTGGACCTTTGGGAGTCATTTCTTGTTTCTATTTACGACACAGGGAGGATTTTGGGTTTGGGTAGGTCCTTGTTGAGCTCCACATGTATCTAGTCCGTAGACTCGGTGTTTATTTGGGCCTGGCGATGCGTCTTGTCGTTCGAGTATGTGGCGAATGGAACCGCAATGCCCATGGTCCTATTGGGAATCGGCCAACGGATTCACAATCTGTCCCTTGAAGTTAGGTCTAGTCCAACATTGAATCCAGCAGTGGATCTTCAACAATCAGCACTGACTCCAGGTATACGGTGTACTCCGTACAAGGTCGTCGCTGTTGACATGATGTGGACCTGATTGTACACATGGCCACGTAGGCGGATCACATAGGCTGGTTGTCTGTCTTCGACCTTCGTACGGAGTACTCCGTACCTGAGACAGATTGTGCTGGGTACTTTACCACTCCGTAGATGTCGATGGAATTTTCCACTCTGTTTTGTTTCCAGTACCTATACCGAAAAGGAAAGGCCCTTACTGTGTAATGTTCACGTACTTCCCAAGTGGTCAAGAATATTATCGTACTATCATCTACAACATATATCTTTGATCACCCAAGACATCTCGTCAACTTTGTTTTCAAGGATATGCGAACTACCCAAAAATTACATAGATCAAGAGCTTATACACCTTAACATATGCATCGTAGATTGATTTATTCCACCCCTTGAAGTCGCGACGGAGACGATGATTCATAGCAGGATGGCCTCTGATTGGCCGAGAACCCTCAGTGCTCCGCGATAAAAAAAAACCACGACCGACTCAATATCAAACCCCGAGGATGCAGCAAGAGAAAGTCACTCGATGATGCAAAATGAGCAAGCGGTCGCTCGAGGAGTCCAGGGCAGGCGCGCATATGTCATCCGACCCCGATAACAATGGCTTACTGCACATTCAGGACCTGCTCTCTCCGGGCGAGGAAGAGCACGGTCAATCATCCGGACCCTCCAAGAAGCCCAGGAACTTTATTGCTACCGTTGTAAGTGGTCTCACTGCTTCACCTATTCTACTATACGACGCGACCGTGTCGTCCGGAGGCCGTTAACCCCCAGTAATAGGCGTGTGAGACTTGTCGTTTGAAAAAGACGAGATGCGACGAATCACGGCCAAGATGTGGACTATGTAAGTCACTTGGCCTAGAATGTATTTACAATGAGCGTAAATCTTCAAAGTAAGTCGTCCTCGGTGGGGTTTGTTTCAATGGCTGATACGGTTACAGACGCGATCAATCTCTCACAATGATCATGAGCACTCTTCATCGACTGGAGACAAAATTAGAAAACATCCCAACTTCTATTTTGAGTGATCTGCAGTCTCTTCGGAGCCAGATTCGTCCTCCTACTCATGAACCACAGACGCAGCTATCGCCTGCCTTCGGCGGTGATGGCAACCAGCCTCTATCAATGCTGCCCCCTATGGGGGATAACTTCACACCCGCGGCAGCTGGGGATGGAGATGACTTTGAATTTGAAGAGAATCAAACAAAGTCAGACTCGGCAGGCCGGATCTCTATCTCTTTCAGTCAGCACGGTGTCATAGTCTGGCCTGGAGCAAGACAGATCCTCCCAAAGCAGTTGCTAGCCGCCTACGAAATGCTCGGGAAAAACTATGTCATTGAATTGGAATCAACACGGCCTGCGCTGCCGATGTTTGCCAGTCCATATCCGTTACAAGCGGGTGATCACTGGCTAGAAGTACTTCCGTTAGCAATGATCAGAGGTCTGGCGGATGCATTCTTCAGTGTTTTTAACCCCTCCACGCCGATTATGGACAAAGGGTTCTTTTTTTCCTTCACTCTTGGCTCCGCCATCGAGAGTGGCTTTGGGTCTAACCTAGAGAGCTGTCTAGTGCTTAACGTGCTAGCATTGGGCTGTCTCGCTGTGCTCGCCCACCAAGAAGGAAACTATCCTTTGCCAGGTGCTCAGGGCCATCGATTCGAACCCCCAGAATGGATGAACGTGGTTTACGAAGAGCAGCCTGGACTGCGATTCTTCAACGAAGCTCGGCGACGTATCGGCTTCTTGATGTGCGACAATGATATCCAAAGTTGCCAATTCTACCTTCTTTCCTCGTATGGATCCATGCCCCAAGCTTCCTCCTGTGTGAAAATTGATACTCATCTTCTTTTAGTGTATATTATAGCCAGATTCCCCGTCCGATGGACTCTTGGACAATGATTTCTCGCGCTGCTACTTGCTGTCTATCAATGTTGACGAAGTGAGTCCTGCCCTATAAATTTCAAACGTCTAGGATGATTCTGACTCGTACGCAGCCATAATGTTAATTTCAACGAGTGGGAAGGCGATATGAAATCCCGTGTATTCTGGAACTGTTTAATGAACGAGACCATTCTCGTCCAAGAGCTGCACCTCCCATCAAGCGGCCTCTCCCGTCTCGAAGAACAAGTCCCAATTCCAAAATTCATCGGCTTTGAAACAACCGGCTACGCCTCAACCCGTTTCACCTCATCGGGCGTAGTTGACGACTCATACTTCCAATATCATTTCCTGGCTCAGGTAGCCCACCGCATCATCCTCACGCGGATCCGCCATTCCCTCTACTTCTACTGTGAGTTATCCTGCCATTCCCTCAAAGCCAAACTCCATCCTCTCACACTCATCCACCATCTAGCGGACTCGGGAACCTTCCCCCTACCGGCAATAAACACTGAGCTGCATCATCAACTAGAACAATGGCGCACCAACCTCCCAGCAACAATCCAATTCAACAACGCCCCCTACTCTTCCCACCCAACTCCAGCAACCCCCTCCATCCACCCCTCTCCATCCGCCTCAATAGCATCTCCAGCGCACCTATCTTCCCCGCGACCAAGACAAAAAGATCCAAACCAACCCCTCTCCCCAGCAATAGCAGTAACAGACGCCATGCTCAAGGGCCGACACATGATCGCGCGCTTCCACATCGGCCGCCCATATCTATACAAAGCTCTCCGAATCCCGCATCTTCTAACAGATGAAGACTTGGTGCAAGTGCGAAGCGGTCTCCAGAATGCAATGGACTGGCCGATCACTCAAGGTATCTTCCGGAAAATGAAGAGCTGTATTCCGATCAAGTTTGCTTTTTGCTCGCAGTGAGTGGCTTCTATATTTCCCTTTGCGTCTAGATGTTACTATAATAATATGTATGAATGAGTTGAGCTGACTTTTTCTTCGCTCAAGATTCTTTGGTCAAATCCTGCTCTTCTATTGCATAGCCCATTCGCCAAGTGCCCGTCTCCGCGAGACACTGCCAGATGGCTGGGAACGCTGGAATGAGGAGATGTTGGTATTTTTGGAGGATTGTGCATCGCACAGTCCGGCCGTTGCGCAGGATCTGCAACTGTTGCGGTATCTGTGGCCTGAGAACTAGGGATTCTGCGCTTTTATGGGGTAGGTGTATTTTTTGTGTTACTTGTGTCCCTTCCCATGTTCTGGGAATCTGTTTTGTTTGCGCATGGAGTTGGGTAGATTATTCACAGTGTATCTCCTGTATTCACGTACGTTATTTCTCTTTCAAGTGTGTACAATTTAATGTGTGGATCCGAATCACATTCAGTACAGCTATGTCTATATACGAGGGCTATGCCTCATTTATCATGTAGCGCCTGCTTCAAACAAAGAAGGGCATTGCGGAAAGCGAAGGCGAACCCAAAAAAGGTGTCTGAGCACTACTCCTCATGCCATGGCGAACATGGGAGATGCACATCAGAGAGCCCAATCCTCGGACGTCTCCGATTTGGCGATGAAGGGTTTGTCAATTTGTTTGATGGCATGGTCACCGCAGAGGATGCTGTGAGGAAATAGGGTCAGTGAGATACACTACTGATGTTGACAAGAAGGACACATACCAAGCTTCAGCGACTAGTCCATCTAATTCCTTAACAATCTCTTCACGCCGCAAGGAAGAGACATCGCCACTGCTGAGCTGCGCCTGCAAATCTCGGATATACTTTTTCTTGCCCCCAGCGCCATCCAAGACTTCCCTACCCAGACAGTCACTGTGGAAAGCATGCTGGCAGGGAAAGACTAAGAATTGACGGCTGAGAACGGGTAGCGAGCAGATCCAGCACCTCTCACCCGGCTCAACAATGGCGTAGCGAGTATCGAGACCGGAGATTTCACCGCGGATTTGGCGGGCTGTCAGGGCCGAGTTATCCATTTCCTGGCGAAGCGAGTCGATGTGGCGTGAGTAGTCCTCCAAAGCAGAACAAATCTCATCCTTGAAATCGTCGATGACGACGAAATCGGGGAAGAATGGGATCAAGTCCTCGATGCGGAGCAGCTCGCAGCGGCGCAGGAATTCAATCGCATCTTTGATACCGGTGCCCGGTTGGCGGATCTTTTTCTCAGCAACGAGGAGCCAAAGTTTTTTGCGGAGCTTGTCGTTGCCCTCCGGGCGGTCCGCAACGATCGCGGCGAGTTCTATGTCTTTGTGCTCCAGGGCTAGCTCTACAGCTTGTAGATACTGTCCCATTGTACTGTAAATGTGAATGCATGACTGGATTCGTTGGTTTTGAATGCACAGGCGAAGTGCGAAGTCTGCATCATATGGGGGTGGGGATGACGGTTGCGATTGGAGATAGGTAAGCAGTCCAGCCTCAGATGATGAAGGACTGGAGGCATGTATTGAGATCAGGGTGTTGTGGACTGCTGCGGATGGATTTGGGTGGTTGACAATGATAAAATTCAGATACCGGACGGCTTGGTTCTGGTTGAGGGAGGAGACGCTAGCAGATTTGTTGTAGTTCAAAAACGCGGGGATCAGCCTCTCAGGATCAAGGTTTGTCTGTCGCATGAGGATATCAACCAGGTCCGTCGGCTTGTGTGTCATTAGCACACTGCTGTATTTGTAGAACACATCGGCTTCGCTTTGCCGCTGCAGAACCTTCAGGGCTTCCAGCCATTTCTCGCGCTGAATCCAATACGATAGAACGTAGTTGTAATCATTCGTAGCGGTTGCGAAGAACAACAACTCCTCCTCTCGCCCGTGGCTGCTAATAATGTCGTATACTGTTTTCTTGTCCAAGTCTGCCTTGTAGCTGTTCACAAACTCTTGAAAATCAGCTCGGATGCTGCCAAGCTGATCTTTGATCTCTCCAGGGCTTGTGCCTTCTGTCAATTCGGCTTTGGTGGCAATATTGTCATCGAGAGAATTCAACTTTGACATGAACAGTTCCACAAGCCAGCTCGCAACCATTATTCTTTGCATGAGCGAAGCCTTCTTGTATGTTGCCAGCTGGGAGAGGAGGTAGTTCCGCAAAGCATCATACTCTTTATGATCAATCATGGTAAGGCAAACCTCCTCGAACCCTTTGCTGCTCTTGCCCCATACTTTGGCTGCCTCGAGGAAGTTACCCTTGCTTGCCAGGAAATCACCCGATGCAGTCATGACGACATCTCGCTGGGCGGCACCTCGGGCATACTGAAGGGCCCCATCAAATTTTTGCTCTTTCAAAAAGATTTTCCAGACATCTCTGTCCTCCTCACCTGCTACAACTTCAAAAATGGCCTGGCTGGTGAAGAGCCAATATGTGTTTTTGGAGAGATCTGTCAAGAGGCCCAGGGCACTTTGCCCAGATTCCAAAACGGGTTGATCGTGGACAACTTCCTGGCTGAGACGATTGACTGCGACCACCCTGCCCCCAACAAGTGCTAGGACATGCCATTGTGACAGAGTCACGGCAGAAATGGGGTCTTGTATCAACTTCCGTCCTCCTCGCGGTGATTCTGAAGCTGGAAACACGGAGCGTGCAAGCATATTTGCGGTCTTGAATGGAGATTCCGACGTAAGTGGGCCATGGTAAATCCCCTCAGAACTGAGCCACGCAAACTGCTTTTCGGCATACCCCTCGGCCTGGTTACTCTCTGAAATCGTGGGTGAAATGACCAGCGAAGATGGCGCAGACGCAGACGGGTTTGGAAGTTCGTGAGTCACTGGCATCTCGCGCTGGAAAAGCTCCAAATACACGCCGCTTTCCCTCCCATGCCTTGAGGCTCCTGTTCGGCCAACGAAATGCAGCAACTTCCCACAGGTTGCCAAAAGTACCCTTCTTTGATCAGTCTTGGAGGACACCGGTTCCGCTGACATTCCAACCACCGGAGAGGCGCCTGGCACTTGGTATACCGGCGTGGTATACTTCTCCTGCCGGTAGCTGGAGGGTTCAATATAAGTCTCGTAGACATTGCCATCAGTGGCACCAACCAGGATCTCACGAGTAGAAGCGGTGGGTAAAGATGGATTCCAAGCAACACTTTCAATTGACACGCCTTTTAATCGTGACAAGGGTTTTGGTTGTCGCGACGGTGACTGGGCATGGAGATAGTAATTTTCACCGAGAGTTGTGGTGATTATCAAATGAGAAGCGGACGGATCGAGGAACATGCGCTTAATCACACCAACCTCCGAGGATTTTTTGGGCAGATCAATGTCTGTTATTCATGAGCAAGGTTATAACAGTATGCCGCGGGTGGCATTTGCTGCGGGGAAGGCTCGGAAACCTACCTTCGACATCTTCAGGGGAGTCAAGATCTATTCGGAGGATGCGATTGGTTGATAAGGCTAGCACAAGTACATTATTTGCGACTTGCGCTGCAACGAAGTCCGCAGCGACGGAGAAGGCCAACTGCACCCGTTCAACGTCGAACATGGGGAGGGAAGAGCTCGAGGGCTCCATCAAGTTGCTCGGAGCAACATAACTGCTGGATCCGTCCAGCGCCATGGTGCGCTAGCTGTAGGGGCGCTATGTCATGCCGCTTATACAAGAGTTGAGGCAAGTCGAAGGTTTTGCGAGTTAATGCAGGATGGAATGGGTCCGTGAGGTTCAAGGAATGCGGAGACACTACTAGTCTTGACGCCTGAGGCCAAGATTTTGGATCACCAAATCAGAACTACATCCATGCAAATGCTCATTACTCCGTAGGCAGATCCACGACCCAGCAAAAAAGACACAATAATTATAGGCCCCTGTTGATTTCAAACTAAATTACAAACACCAAAGTCACTCCGCTCATGCACCATGGGTATCATTGTGAAACAGGAACAGCTAGACTGGGTATCTCAAAAAAAAAGGGAAATCCTGGCATCACCAGCCTGGCTCACATCACTGCACATTCCCGATCCAACATCCTGCTCTTCTCCTTGGATTTCCCTTTATTCCTCTCGTGGTTCTTCGTTCGGCCTCTTCCGCGCTTCTCCTTATTCTCAAGAGCAGCTGACCCAAGTTTCATGTCGTCCACAGTGTCATCAATCTCAAATGCAGACTCATCCTCTTCATTTTTCTCGGCAAATCCGTCATTGCTAATTTTATCCCGACTGAGTCTTTCAGCAAAGCGTGAAAAAGTGGCACTGATTCTATTTTCACCTGTTTGGCTGCCAGCGCGGCTTCCGGGATTGCTCTTGGCCGACCGAGACCCACGGCGCGAGAGGGATATTCCCTTTGTGCTTCCTTCCTCCATCGGTGCCAGCCCAGGCGATGAGGACGAAATAGAGCGCGGCAGAGGACCGGCCGAGTTGCTGGTTTCTGAAAATGCTATGCTGGATCGCCTTGCGATGTTGGCTAGTGTTTGCGCACTAGTCTCGCATGGCCCGGTAACCTCAACACTAGGTCGGTCAGAAGTAAAGTCTTCGAGACTGAAGTCTGTTTGGTCGCCTAGTGTACTGCTTTCTGACGCCCGAGATGATGGTGGGTTTGGAATGTTGGGCGCAGATGGATCTTCGCCGATTGGAAGAATTTGGTAGAACAGAAGATAAGGCGATTCAGTCTTCAATGCGTGATCAACATCAACCAGTGTCACTCGCTCAGCGGCGAGATCGTCGAAGCGCATCCAGTGTTTTGATGTCTCAGGGATTTCTGGGCCAGCGGTGATAGGAGTGCCGGTATTGGGGCAGTTGGTACCTCGAACAATGGAAATGTAATGCCCCGAGTCGACCGAGTTACCCCTATGGCAAACCAGAGCTTGCAAAGAGAGTTTAAAGCTCCCAAAGATAGGAGCATTCGCATCCAAGTTGTCATCTTGGATGAAGTGAGGCAGGCCGATCTCAACTGGTATGTCAATGTGTGTATTGAGCCTGACTGCCCTCCCGTCTGGCAAGAAGGAATAACGTTTCAGACACATCCCGAGAATCGGCCGTTTTGAGGAAAAATGTGCTGCAACTTGCGCATCGTTTGTTGGTGTGTTGTCGGTATACCACGCTAAGCAAGAATCAGATCAGTTCACGCAAAAGTCAAAGAACAGGACGAAAGGTGATGACATACGTATCAATCTAAAAAATTGCCACGCAGGCATCATTACCTCCTTCTTGTATGAACCCCTTCGCGATTGTGTACTTTCACTGGTATCTTTCTCCGGATTTGGATCCCTGGCGTTCGTGTTGTCATTTGAATCCGGAAAGAACCGCTGACGAACAATACTGCCACGTCGACCAGGTGTCCGACATGCTTCGAGGGATTCATTGAACTCACTGAATGACGACCAAGGGGTTGGTTTTTCAACGCGCGGTGAATTTGTTTGAGCACGAGACATAGTGGGTGTGGTCTCAATTTCCACTGTTTCAACATGTGACGTGGACCCCTTGGATATGGAGAGGGAGTCCCTCGACCTGATAGAGCCAGTGGTGTTACGTCGTTCCATGTGTCGTTTAACTTCTATCATGTTATTGAAGTAAGCTTCCAGGCAATCTTCCAGTGTGAGTGAATGTCCATCAGTTGGCTCGGGCGGTATGGCAACCTCGAGAAGTCTCTCATTGACGAACTTATGGTCGTCACTTTCATCCTCCTTTCCAGTATGATAGATGTCCATCTTCAAAGTGAGAAGTGGCAATTCTAACTTTTCTGTGATGAAAGTGAATGCTTCTGAGGCATCCTGTTGCTGAAGTTTGGCCGCGTCTTCCCAGCCACATTCTGCTAGGGCATCCTGCAGGTGTTTTGTCTGAAGCCAACTAGTTAATAACCGATGTGAAAGATACGGACAGCCACATGGATTGTAACTAACCATGTCTGTGGTGATAAGCTTCCCTGATCGTAGCAGATTCACCCATAGTCTCAGAAGGATTGCAAGCTTTCGACGAGGCTCATCATTAAAAGATTTATAGAGAATGGCCTCAAAACAATCAAGGCGCGCAAACATGGCGAACAACAAGGCGTCCAAATAGCATGTGACTCCGTGGCGATTCTCAGCGCCTAAGAGCTTGGTGTTGGGTGTGTAATTCCTGATTATTCCTTCGATGGAGTCCTCTAGCAGAAGTAGCAGGCTAAATGCTTTCTCTGTATCGCCTTGCGTGGTTTTCAATGCATAACTCATATGCTCTTCCTCTAACGCAGTGATTCCAAGTTGTTTAATTCGTTGGGCGAGGGCTTTGACCTAGGTGTGGATTTGGAATATTAGACAGGTGCAAGCTGACCCCAATGCACTCAGGCCATACCTTCTTATCATGATCATCATTTTCTGCTAGAGTCGTCTCTGACTTGAAAATTCCTTGGAATGGAGGACGTGAAAGTATACGAGATGCCTAGAAGTACAGAGGATTAGCCAGTCTGAGATCTTGTTGAAAAGCATCATCAAGGAGTTCTACGTGCGCATACCTCTTCTTTGCTTTGCTTGTTCAACTTATTGTGCCGGTCGCGACGCGTCAAAAACCGATGGATGCCACTCATTCTTGCGGGTGGAGAAAAGAGTCACCCCTAAGAGCAGACTTTCTAGATTGAATCGAAGAATCCCAACATTGAAGAGATGCGGGGGATAAGGAGACCTGTAAACTAGCTCAGAGCTTAGTTAAGGCTGCAGGATTCCTGAAAAGTGCATGTAGGATACATCATAAGTAGAGCTCTCCTGACATGAACACGCGTCGAAAAGAAGCAACTGAGACAAGTTGAAGTTGAACCCCTTCGGGTGATCTGCGGGGCAGAGCGGGAAGAGACACCTAAGGCAGGAGCTCGACCTGTCGGCTTCTGCCTTGTCATTTTTGTCCTAATCTGGGCCATGTCACCGCCTGAAGAGGGCGGTGGAGGACGGTGACATGGCTAGAACTTCGACAACACTTCCAATGAATATAACATATGCAACATAAAGATAGGTAAGAGGGAAAAACAACACATTCACATTCATATTCAGCATAGATCAATCCATCCCACAAGCAAATGTAGGAGTGTCTTGATCATTAACACCTTTGTCCAGTAGGTGTCATTTTTAGACTGATCCTCATCTCTAAATTCTTCTAAAAATCAAACCACTGCAACCAGGTTGGTGGCTGAAATTGCAGCTGCCTTTTTGAACACTAGTGGTGTTCCTTCCAGAATTTGGTTTAAGGCTTCCTGATCCATGAAGACAGGATATCCATGTTGAACTAGGGCTACAACATACGATCTTATAGAGAGGCCTATAAGCTCTACTTGTTGAACATTTACTGTCTCTCATTTTACAATTACCTCAACTATGCTCTGTACATAGTACCTATATGTACACAAGTGTAAATGCAATTATTCATACCGCCAAATCCACTGGTTCAAATAGTCGTCCAACGAGGATCCTCTTAAGTGGTCTGATCCGGCTGGGTAAAGATTGCTTGGCCACCACCCAAGGAGCAATTTTGAGCTTTGAGTGAGCATTTCCGCCTAGTCAATTAACTTCATCCAACTATTTCATACCTCATCAAAGGTCTTTTTTGCAGTCGTAAGCGCGGTAAACGACTTCGGGAACAAGCCTCATGTTTTTGGCCATCAGAGGTTGGTCAAATCTTCGCGGGTATAGATAGCATCTGTCCTGAACTCGAAAATAGACATGATTGCCACTCCGGAGTGATTCAATGGGCCTTGAATCAAGATTAACGACCGTTATTGAGCAGTTATGTATCAATCAGATTCCACACCAGGGAGTCACGCCTGACCTCTCGATGTATAACGTATTTCACAAGCGAGCCGGCCACCCCAACCAAACCTACTAATTTCAAATACATACAACTCAACCAAAACTCCATTAAATTAAATACACTAAAATGATCTATTCTCTGGACATACATTTCTCTTATGACCCTGATTTTTATATAACCCGCATGTTGGTAATGCACTCGTTCGGGGCTGTAAAGGTGGCGAAGGCCTTCTCTGCCAGCGGGGGGGAGGCGCTTCAACCGATTTAACCGGCTCAGTAATCAACTAAGAAGCTTCAAGAACTAAGAGGCCTTCTTCAGTAGGTATCTGCCTCCGGAATCTAGTACGCTTTTGCTTCTGCTTCTTGTTGACAGCGCGTAATTCGCTTACTTCTTTCTCGAGAAGTACGGCGGATCGTATAGTGATCTAACTGTCACGGTGCGAACCGTGATGCTTAGTAAGAGGAAGATTCCGGCACGTGATCTCCGACCTGTTTATCTGAACTTCAGTTCTAGATCCTGTTGTAGCTCTTCGAGCTACGTCTTGTATAATAGCCTGCCCCTGCCTGTACCTGTCAAGTGGAATCTGATCTGCTATGACCTGTTCCTACCAGTCATCTCCAATCATACCGTCCTGCCAGCCCGCACCCTGACACTGACACGCCTTTAAAACCTAGTTTATAGCGGAATTTAGAGGACTTAAGAGGGCTATTTGATCTTATACGAAGTAATGCTTTAAATGATAAAGCTTGCTTTTATAATTGGATATAATTTAAAGGGGGGTTTAGGTCCTAATCACTACCCTAGCTAGAGGGGGGGTAGTGGACTTCCGCAAAGCCCGAAACCCGACTCGACCCTCAAAAGGGTCGAGTCGGGTTTCGGGCTTTGCGGAAGTCTATCTCCGGCTAGTATATTCACTCCTTATGATAACCTTTATAGTAGCAGTTAACCCTATAGCGAAACCGGTTTCGTTAAAGTTATAAATATTATCTTAGTAAATCCTAAATTAAAGAATAATTCTTTAAACAAGATTAAACCACCCCTAAATAATCTTTAGGTCTTCGTATTTCGCACGCTCGTAATTATATCGTTTCGAGAACCGG